TGCTTTAGGCGTCTCTCTAAGTATAGCAGTCAGCTGTCCAGCAAAGGAACAAAAATATCTGGACCCATGCCTGTAACCCCTCTGGAGCCTGAGCAGGAAGATGGCTAGTTCAAGACCACCCTGGGCAACATAGCCTGACCCTGTGTCAAAATAAAAAAAGGGGAGGCTGGGGATTTAGCTCAGCGGCATAAGCACCTGCCTTGCAAGCAGGTGGTCATGAGTTCGATCCCTAGTACCGATAAAAAGATAAAAAATGGATACCTTTATACCAATGTATAAAACAGTATTCACAACAGCCTCAAAGTGGAAACAATTCAGTGTCCCTCCAAGCAAGGGACAGACAAAAATGCGGCATATCTATGTGCTGGAATATTACATGATCAGAAAAAGGAAATGGGTGTCAGTACCTGGTACTACTTCAAACAGGCTCAATGACAAGCCAGGCAGAGGACAAGCACTGTGACTCCAATGACATGAAATATCTGGATAGGATGTTTCTGGAGACCAAGAATAGATCTGTGGGTGAGGGAAGGGGGCTAGGAACTCCCTGTTTATTGGGGTAATTTGTACTAGGGATGCTCAAGACCTGGAGATGAATGTGAAGATGGTTACGTAACACCATGAACATAAGGAATTAAAACTGTGCACTTAACACTGGTTAAAACAGCAGACTCAGCCAGGTGTGGTGCCCCATACTTGTGATCCCAGCACTCGGGCAGGCTGAGGCAGGATAACTGCGAGTTCAAGCCCAGCTTGGGCAATTTAGAGGCTTAGTGAAATGCTGCCTCAAAATTTAAAAAAAAAAATTTAATTAAAATTTTAAAGGGGTTGGGGTTCAGAGCAAAGGCCCTGGGTTCAATTCCCAGTACAATGAAAGGAAGGCAGGCAGGCAGGCAGGCAGGCCAGCAGGCCAGTGGGCCGGCCCTTGGCCTTGGACCTGCCCACGCAAGTCCATGATGGCTTCCTCTCCCTCTGCAGTCCTGCCCGTGTGTCCCACAGAATAGCCGCACACGGGCGAGGCCAGCAGCTCGGGGAGCAGGGGAGGGACAGGCTGTGGCCACCATCTTCTCCGGTGACCCTCTGTGCCGGAGTGGCCATGCTGTCAGCCATTCAGGGCTTGGTCTCTTCTTGTCCCCAACCCATGGCTGACACAGAACAATCCAGACTGCAGAGGCCACCCCAGGACCCGGCCTCCCTCCTGAAGTGGACACTGGAGCCCAGCTCAGTCACCCGGCTCCAGTCCCGAGGCTCCTGCTCCCCAGGACTCTGGCACTGCGAAGGGGACGCCCAGAGGACAAGTGAGGGCAGCTCAGCCCAGCAGGGACAGGTCGGACCCCAGGCGGGCGGCAACCAGGGACATCTCTGGAGCACACAGCAGAGGCTGACACAGGGAGGAGGCAGGGACAGGGAGCTGCTGGGTAAGCAAGGGCTCAGGTGTGGGTGGACGCAATGGTGCAGGCTTGTAATCCTAGCGCTCCAGAGGCCGAGGCAGGAAGACCCCTGTGAGTTCGAGATCAGCCTGGACTATACAGCAAGACCTTGTCTCAACCCACAGCCTCTCAACAGAATAGAAGAGAAAGTGAGGAACAACAGGAAGGGACGGCAAGGGTCACCTAGATGCTTAGTCAAGTATTCATTCCAGAGGGACCAGGCCCACCACTTCCCCAGGGCAAGGCCAGCCCTGGGAGAGATCTGTTTGCTGTGTGCAGGGGCGGTGCTGAGCCTGGGTCTCTACCTTGAGCACCATCCCTGGCTCTACTGTGCTGGCTTTTGGGGTGGCTCCTTTTGGGGTGCCAGAAGCCAGATGGAACATGGCTATGGAGCATGGCTGTGACCCCAGCAACTGAGGCCGAGACAGGAACATCACAAGTTTTAGCATAACCTAGGGAACTTCATGAGCTGTCTGAAAAGAGGGCCGGGCACAGCTCTGGGATGGAGAGGCAGTGGCCTCCGCAGCCCATCCTGCTGGGCCTCAGGCAGGACACAGGTGCGGAGCCCAGCTGAGGAACAGCTCCTTGCACAGCCGCTTCCTCTGAGTTAAAACCAGCACACGGGCTGGACGCTGCATGCCCGCTCCCCGCCTTTGATCTGGGTTGGGACACAGATGAGGAGGTTAGGAAGCCAACACTGTCATCAGCACATCAAAAAACAAGAGTGACACTGGCCAGAGACAGTGCTGCACACCCGGGCTGAGGCAGGAGAACTGTGGGTTCCTATTTCAAAGCCAAAGTCAAAAGGCCCAGGACCAAGCTGGTGTCCTCCCGATGTGATGACCAGCCCTGCAGTGTCCAGCCCAGGGCCACCCACATGGCATCACAGACCCTGAGGGGCAAGCAGAGGCCACAGTGGGGCTCCGGCCCAGCGCAGGTGTAGGCTGTTCTGTCACCAGCACTCAGGGAGCCCCAGCCCCAGACGCCATCTCACCCCTCCTCCCTGACCCGCCCTGTGCCCAGCCCTGTCCCCAGCCACCCCACTCTGCCCACCCTGCATTCAGCCACGCACACACACACTGTCCTGCCCTGCTGCTGCCCTCCCAGAGCCAGCTCTGCCTGGGGTGTGCCCCAGGCCCCAGGCGGCAGCGGAGGGAAGGAATGAACACTGGGCTTCTGGGTGGCCCTGGTAACTCGTCTACCCCCACTGTGGAAGAGGCTGCTTGCGCCTAGCCACCAGGGGCAGGGGCTACTGCTGTCACACACAGGCCCTGCGGCCCACAGTTCTTCCCAGGCCCACAGAGCCTTTGGGCGCCAGGCAGTTTCAGGGGGACAGTGACCTCCAGTGGCCGCCGGGAGCCATGCATGGTTGGGGCACACAGGAGAAGGGCCCGTGGCGCTGACCCTACAGGCTTAACCCAGGTCCTTTCTGCAGCGACAGCCTGGCCTTTCCTCCTCCCCAGCCCACCTCCCACAGCGGCCCAAATCCAAGCACTCAAGCTGAACGGGGACTCCCTTCTCAAGGCAAGTGCACAGCAGTGAAACCACGTGTGCCTGTGTCTCTCCATCCTGCTCTCTGCGACAGAAGCCACCAGGAGTCTCAGGCGGGGACAGGAAGGGGCCACATCCTCTCCAGCAGCTCAGTCCCAACTCGATTTCTCCAGAGCCACAGACTCAGTGTCCTTGTCATCCAGAGGGACGCCCAGGCGGAGGGCAGCCCCTCCTCCCGTGTTACCCGCTCTCCCAAGCCACAGCCCCTTCCAGTCACTCATCTTGGACAGCAGTGTCACGGGAGACATCTGGAAACACCCCGAGCGCAGCAGAGACACTGGCCACATGCAGTGGACACTGGCCAGCCTGGACCAGGCTCCCACATTTGTGCCCATGATGGAGCGAGCACATGGTGGCGGGGGTGGGGGGCTGGGGATGGGGGAGTGGGGGAGCAGGTGGCCAAACACAGCCTGCATCCCCACACAGCCCTGCTTTCTCCACACAGCTGCTGGGCAAATGCGCCCTTTGGGTGGAAGAGTGCCCAAGTGTGCCCTCTTCCACCCTGCTTTCTGTGCCAGGCGGCTATGCAAACCCCAGCCCAGGGCACAGGCCCCATCATCATGGGCTCTCACAGGCATCGGCCACCAGCTCAGCCCCCAGCAGCCAGGGCGGCCAAACCACCTGAGACCATGCAGGGCCACAGGTCATGGGGAGGGACTTCTAATGGAGGCATGTGGCACCTGAACACACCAAGAACCCTCCTGTACCTCTTGTCTGCCTCTGCAGAGCACTGCAGCCCCTGGGTTTTCCCAGCTGTTCTGCGTGACATAATGTGAAGTTTAACTTAAGAATTTAGAGACTCAGCAGGGAGCTAGAATCCCTACTTTGTAAATATTCTCAGCCTGTGCAAGAGGAGGGCACAGAGATTCTGTGAGTGCTACACCTGCCCTGGAGGACGGGAGACCTGTGTACGATATAGGGAAGAAAGGAGGCTTGCTCTTCCCTTTTGTTCTGGCTGCTTCTGCTGCCTTGAGGTGTTGGCCCTGTGCCCTGCCACCCTGCCTTGGAGCCAGCTGATTATGGACTGAAACCTCCACAAATTGTGAGCTAAATAAACCTTTTCTTCCCTAACTTTAGGTGTCAAGTATTTTGTCCTAGCAACAAGAGAAAAATAACTAAGACACCGCCCCACACCCTGTGCCCCAGCACACGGAGGCCACACTGCCCCTTCCCAGCAGCCCAGGGCTGCTCTTCCCCGGGATGAGCCTGAGTTCACCATGCTCAGGTTCCTGTCCCCATCTGAGGGGTGCAGCGTGTTCGCAGATCACAGTGCTCAGCAGCGTGTGTTTCATTTCTCCTAACTGGGAGGTGGCCACAATGGCTTGGGAACTGGGGTTCAACCTGGTTACCAACAGACAGCAACCACCTCTGGACCCTGCCACCCACCTGGCCTCCTGCGCTGGGAGGTCCACAGGGTGTGAGCTCCTCCCACATCCAGCCCTCCAGGCTGACACTGCTGGTGGGATCTCTCCCTAGGGCTCAAAGGAAGCAAAGACAGAAATTTTCATTGCTGAACTTGTTTTAGAGGGCTTCGTTTCGGCTCTGAAAAGCCAGTCTTAAAGGCAGCCAGTGTGGTAGTGCATGCCTGTAATCCCGGCACTTGGGAGGCTGAGGCAGGAAGGTTGCCATGAGTTTGAGGCCAGTATGGGTTACAAAATGAGTTCAGGCCTAACCTAAACTACCCATTGAGACTTTGTCTCAAAAATAAACAATTTTAGAAAAAACTAAAAAGCTAACCTATTTAGATAAAATCTCAGGATACTGTGTGATGGTACACTCCTGTAATCCCAGGACTCGGGAGGCTGAGGCAGGAGGATCATTGCAAATTCGAGACCAGCCTGAACTGCATAGTAAAACCCTATCTCAAAAAGTCAAAAAGGAAAATCAAAGCAAAATAAAATAGCCATAAAAGTGCTAAGAAGCACAGCCCGCAGTGAGACCGGGAGTCCCACCCCTCCAGGATCACCCCATTCTCCTAACTGGCAACGAGCATTACCACCTTCAGGACCACGAAGCAAATGTAACAAACCTGTGACGTTTAATCACTAGTTAGAGTTAAATCCAGTCCTCACTCGGATCCCGATTCGCGCACCAGCCTGACCGTGAGCCCGCTCCCTGATCCCCAGGAGGTGCCCGATGTCAGGCCCTGTTGCCCCTCGTGGAGACGATGCCAGCAGCTCTGGTCTCAGAAACTCATCCAAGGGGCACTCGGTCTGCGGTGGTGCCCACATTCACCCAGACAGCGGACGGCAGACATGGCAGCATGCGCCCCCGTGCAGTGAGTCCCAGGGTCGGTATCCGAGCCTCTGTGCTGCCTGGCTGGTGCCAACTGGGGCCCTGGCATCTTCGCCCCATCACAGCACAGGCAGGCGCAGCGCCCAGGCCTGGCAGCCTCAAGCAGAGGCCTGGGTACCGTCAAGAGTCCAGGTTTGGGAGACCGCCTCTGCTTTCGTCCTGTCTGAGCCGCTTCAGCTCTGGAGGGCTATCCTGGGGGTCTCCGGGCATCTCTGAAACATCAACAAACACGAGACTGGCAAATAGGAACTAACATCTGAGCCAGGCGTGATGGTGCACACCTGTAATACCAGCATTTGGGAGGCTGAGGCAGGAGGACCACTGTCTGAGGCAGGAGATCAAGGCCGGCCTCCTGAAGTACACAGTGAAAACTCTGTCTCAAAAAAACCAAAACACATAACAACAGCAAACCAGTAACATCATCACTTACCTGATAGAATTTCTTCAGTAGAAGAGGTGGAAACTGTGCTGGTGGGGACAGAATTCGGTCGACTCTCTGTCTTCAAGGGTATTAAGTTTATTCTCCTTGATTAAAAAAATGAAGGGGTGGATGGCTCCTTAGTGTCACAGGAATTGTTTATGTGTGATGCTAAGTTTCAAAACCACCAAGGAAATACCTAAAGTGTTCCAGATGGCCCTACTATGCCAGTCATTCAATGTAATTAGGTGCTCATTTAGTGAGTAAAGGCTACATTCATGTACTACCTTTAACTACTACATGGCCAACGGAAATCCAAAGCAGCCAGTGCTGGGTATAGTGGTGCACACCTGTAATTCCGGCACTCGGGAGGCTGAGGCAGGAGGATCGTCATGAGCTCAAGACTAGCCTGGGCTACACAGTGAGTTCAAAACCAGTCTAAACTACATAGTGAGACATTGTCTCACAAAATAAACAAACAGAGCTGGGCATGCTGGCACATGCCTGTAATCCCAGCACTCAGGAGGCTGAGGCAGGAGGATTGTTGTGAGTTTAAAAGCAGCCTACATTGCAAAGTGAGCTCAAGGCCAGCCTGAACTGCATAGTGAGGCCCTGCCTCAAAAAGACAAAATAAACAAATAAATAAAATAAAAACTTTTCAAAGAATACATTCCCCTACATAAAATATAAAGAGAAGGCTAGGTGTGCTGGCTCAACTCCTGTAATTCCAGCACTCATAGATAGGAGGCTGAGACAGGAGGCCCTCCATGTGTTTGAGGTCAGCCTGGACTAGGTATCAAGATCCAGCCTCGGAAATTAAAAAAAAAAAAAAAAAACGAAGCTGGGGATATGGTTCAGCAGCACAGCGCCTGCCTGGCAAGCATGAGGTTGTGAGTTTGAGTCCCAGCACAAAAACAAAACAACCCACCAAGAAATATTTGCCACGGTGTAATAGTCAAGCCCCAGGACCAAGGCCAGGCGCACACTGACAGGCAGGAGGCAGGAGGCAAGCGCCCCTGGCCTCGGTCACCGCCCTGGCTGCACCTCTCCTGGCACATCTGGAAGGCCAGGCCTGGGGCGTGCAGGGAGGACAGCGGACTCCTTGGAGCCAACGCCAGGCCTCAGGCCGCTCACCTGCTTAGGGCCCTGGATGGCGACTTCCCACTCCGTCCCTGGCCCTTACCGGGGCGTGGTCTTGCTCCAGGTCTGCAGTGTGTTCAGGCTGACCCTCCGGGACGGGGGGCCTTTCATGCTCTGCGGCATCACCTCCTCAGAAGGCCCTGGCGAGGGGCCCTTGGTACCAGGAGTCGTGGTGGGTGCATCCTTGATAGCCACTGTTGTTGGGGTTGGGGCTGGGCTTGGGGCAGGGGTTGTGGTCAGCGCCTGTCCTGCCAGCAAGGGAGTCACAGGGGGACTGCTGGGCTCCTGCACTCTGGAGGCAGGGGTCCCCTCTGCGGGCCTGGGCCCTGGTGAGGAGCCCTGCTGCGGGTGACTCCTGGCTTTCCTCGCCGTGTCTGGGGTTCTCACGTGCAGCACCGGCTTCTCTTTCAAAGGGATGCCGAGCTCGTCTTTCTCAAAGGTCACAAAGGAGCAGTACCCATCCGTGGACGAGATGGCCAGGAAGGCCCCATCGCTGGACCTTGGATCCCAAAGCAGGGGAGAAATTAGAGCCTTTCCCAAAGTTTGTGGCCCACGACACCTTGGGGACCCCGTGGAAGTCATGGAAAGCAAAGCGGAAGGTGGAAGCCAGGGGACGCACGCCGGGACCAGGACCTCTCCGGCTGCTGGCTGGCCTCGGTGTCCCGGGGCACCAGCCACAGGCAAGTGGGGTGACCTCATCCTGAGACACGGAAGATTTTAACAAGGGAAGAGCTGTGACGAGCAGGAAGGGGAGGACGAGGGGCCAGGCACAGGGGCCAAGTCGGGACCAGACAGTGGCGAGGAGGATGGGGCTGTGGGAAGGGCCTTGCAGGGCAGCGAGGGCTCCCCCAGAGGGCTTGGCACACCCCTAGATGAGCGGGAGTCCCCAGGCCTCCGTTCCGGGCACTCCAGCTCAGTTACTTCTGCTCACTCCATGGGGCAATGGAAAAGACAGCAAAGTGGTATCGCCACACCTGGGGACAGGGACGGGGCCAAAGCCCCCGCCAGTCAGGAAGGGCCGCTCACCAGGAAATGTCGCTCAGTGTGTGGTAGTGGATGTTGGACACGTAGCCGAAGGGGAACAGCTGCTGGGTGTCGTAGAGCAGCACGGAGTCCTCCGAGGCCACTGCAAACACCAGTCGGTAGGGCAGGCGCGCCAGCACCCCGGCCGGCTCCTGTGCGGCTCTGTCTGCGGGGACGCGACAATGTCCCGGGGAAATGAGCTCCCAGGTCCCTCTCGGGGGGGCTGTGTGGGGTCATCTCACCCAGAGCTAATCTGATGCACGCTTTACAGAGAACATGGTTCTTTGGGTTTTTGTAAGATGTTACTAAAAGAACCACACAGGGGCCGGTGAGGACAGTGCCTGGATCTGAGTCATGGACGGTGAGGGCCAAAAACAGAAAAGGAGTGAGGGGAGAGGAGCTGGACATGGTGGCGCAGGCCGGTAACCCCAACACTCAGGTGGCCGAGGCAGAGGAGCCAAAACTCCTACGTAGAGAGGCCTGCTCTCAAAATAAAACAGACCGCATACTGGCTCAAAGAACAGGCTTAAGTAAATGTAAAGGAACAGACCACAGTGCAGTGACATTTGAAATAAATGCAAGGGAAACCACAAGAACTTCAACAACACATGGAAATTAAATAGCACCCAACTGAACAACCAGTGGGTCACAGACGAACTTAAAGAAGAAATCAGACAGTGTTTACAATGTACCAGGACTTGTGGGACACAATGAAAGGAGTCCTAAGAGGGAAATTATAGCAGTAAATGTCCTTATCAGGCAAGCACATATATGCAACTTAATGGTGAACCTTAAACTTTTTTTTTTTTTGTCTTTTTTTTCCATTTTTATCGGTACCGGGGATCGAACTTACGACCGTGTGCTTGCAAGGCAGGTGCTTATGCCGCTGAGCTAAATCCCCAGCCCCGAACCTTAAACTTCTACAAAAAGAAGAGCTGGTTAAACCAAAAGCCCATACAAGAGAGGAAATGATAAAGATCAGAGCAGAAATTAACACACTGAGGGGCTGGGGATTTAGCTCAGCGGCATAAGCTCCTGCCTTGCAAGCAGGCAGTCCTGAGTTCGATCCCTGGTACCGATAAAAAGGAAAAAGACAAAAAAAAAAAAAGAAAAAGAAATTAACACACTGGAGACTAAAAAAAATACAAAGAATCAATGAATCAAAAATTTGGTTCTTTGAAATATTAAATAAAATTAACAAACCCTTGGCCAATCTTATCAAAAAAAGGAAAGAAAAGACTCAAATTCATGCAATTAGGAACAAAAAGGGTGAAATCACAACAGACTCTGTAGAAATCCAAGAAATCATCTACACCTACTTTGAAAATTTGTGTTCTAATAATATGGAAAATACAGAAGAAATGGAAAGATTCCTAGATACATACAAATTACCAAAGCTGAATCAACAAGAGATAAAAATCCTGAGTAACCCAGTATCAATAAATGAAATTAAAGATGTAATTAAAAACCTATCAACAAAGAAAAGCTCAGGCCCTGACAGATTCACTGCTGAATTCTATAAGAAATTTAGTAAAGATCTAACACCACTACTTCTCAAGCTCTTTAATGAAATTGAAAGGGAAGAAATACTCCCAAATTCTTTCCTGGAAGCAAGCATTTACTCTGACTCCAAAACCAGAGAAGGATCCAACTAAGAAAGAGAATTACAGGCCAATCTGCCTGATGTACACTGATGCAAAAATCCTTAGTAAGACACTGGCAAACAGACTACAGTACAATGTCGAAAAGATTGAACACCATGATCAAGTGGGATTCATCCGAGGGATGCAGGGATGGTTCGACATCTCATAAATGTAATACATCATATGAATAGAGCCAAGGACAAAAATCACATGATCATCTCAGTAGATGCAGAAAAGGCTTTTTTTTTTCGTTTTGTTTTTGGTTTGATTTGTTTTTGATTGAACTCACCACCTCGAACTTAACTTGCAGGCAGCACTTGTGCCGCTGGGCTAAATCCCCAGCTCCAGAAAAAGCTTTTGACAAGGTCCAGCACCCATTCATGATAAAAAGCCCTACAGAAAATTGGAACAGATGGTCTTTATCTCAATATGATAAAAGCCATCTATGACAAACCACTAGGCAACATCACACTAAATGGACACAAAACTGAAAGCTTTCACTCTAAAATCAGGAAAAAGACAGGATGTCCACTGTCTCCACTCTTACTTAACATAGTCCTGGAAACTTTAGCCAGAGCAGTTAGACAAGAGAAAGAAATAAAAGGAACAAAGATGAGAAAGGAAGAAGTTAAATTACCATTATTTGCCGACAACATGATACTCTTAGAAGACCCTCAAAAACTCCACCAAAAGACTTCTAGATTTAATAAGCAGATTTAGTAATGTAGCCGGTTACAAAGTCAACACTCAAGAATCAATAGCCTTCCTGTACACAAATAACAAACTCACTGAGAGAGAAATCAGGGAAACGGTATCTTTCATAATAGTATCCAAAAAAATGAAATAGCTAGGAACTAATCTAACTAAAGACCTCTACATTGAAAACTACAGTACTCTGAAAAAGGAGATTGAAGAGGACATCAGAAAATGCAGAGATATCCTATGCTCTTGGGTAGGAAGAACCAATATAATGAAACTATTATACAGATTTAATGCAATCCAATCAAAATTCAAATGGCGTATCTCACAAAATTAGAAAAACTAATCCTAAAATTCACCTGGAATCAGAAGAGACCTAGAGTAACAAAGGCAATTCTGGGCAACAAAGACAAGGCAGGAGGCATCACAACCTGACTTGAAATTCTACTACAAAGCTACTGTAACACAAATAGTTTGGTACTGGCAAAAAAACAGACCTGAGGATCAGTGGAATAGATTAGAAGATGTAGAAATATCTGCAGACACACTAAGCTTCCTTATCTTTGACAAAGGTGCCAAACACATTCACTGGAAGAAAGGTATGTCTTTAATAAATGGTGTTGGAAAAACTGGCTTTCCACATGCTGAAGATTAAAACTAGACCTGTATCTTTCACCATGTACTAAGCTAAAATCAGAATGGATTAAAGATCTTAATATTAAAACAGAGATATTAAATCTCCTAGAAGATAGAATAGGTAGAACTCTTGAAAACATTGGTGTAGGCAAAGACTTTATGTCTAAAACCCAGATTGCACAGGATTTATAGCAAAGAATCAACAACTGGGATCTCATCCTATTGAAAAGCTTTTGCACAGCAAGAGAAAGCACCAGCAGAGTGAAGAGACAACCCACAATGTGGGAGAAAATGTTTGCCGGCTGTTCCTCAAAGGATTACTATCAAGAATGTATAAGGAACTCAAAAACATCAGTCCTCTGGCTGAGGATTTAGCTCAGTGGCATAAGCGCCTGCCTTGCAAGCAGGCAGTTGTGAGTTCGATCCCTGGTACCGATAAAAAAACGAAAAAGACAAAAAAAAAAAAAAAAAAAATCAGTCCTCCCAGATTTAAAGACCCGATCCAAAAATGGGCATCTGAGATGAACACACACTTCTCAGATGAAGAAATACAGCAAATACATACGTGAAAAAATATTCAACAGCAGAGGTCATTCGAGAGATGCAAATTAAAACAGTGAGATTCATCTCACCCCAGAAAGAATGGCTGGCATTAAGAAATCAACCAACAACAAATGCTGGCGGGGCTGTGGGGAAAATGGAACCCTTCTCCATTGGTGGGAATGCAGACTGGGCAACCACTGTGGAAATCAGTGTGGGGATTCCTCAAAAAACTAAGATTGGAGGTCCTATTCAACCTAGCTATTCCCCTTCTGAGTATCTTCCCAAAAGAATTAAAAACATCGTATCACAGTGATATATGTGCACCCATGTTTATTGCAGTAATTTATAATAGTCAGATCTTGGAAACAACCTAAATGCCCATCAACTGAGGAATGGATAAGAAAGATGTGTATTTTTATACAGTGGAATACTACTCAACCATAAAGAATGATAAACTGGAGTTTTACAGGTAAATGGGGACATGCTTTGAGGACATACTTATTAGGGAAGAAAATATGTCACACATGTATAAACATGGTATTGTTTCCTTAGTGTGACAAGCTGAAAGAAAAAACAGTATTGTCCCAGAGAAAATGACCTCAGCCAAAGCAGTGACCCAGGTCACACCTGTCTTTACTGTATCCCACTGTGAACCATTTTGAGTTGACGTGTGGATGTCTTAAGAAATTTCTGATGTGCTGTAAGGCTTGGCTTTTTGCATGTGTATATGTAGTTGTTGCAGTATAGCTATTGAACACAATCCTTTCTCCACTTAATTGCTTTTGCATCTTTGCCAGAAATCAGTTGTCTGTTACATGGGTGTCTACTCTGGGCCTTCATATTGGTCCCTTAGTGGTTTGTCTACCTTGGTATCAATGCCATTTTGTCACGACTGTTGTAACTTTGTGGTAAGTCATGGGATTGGGGAGGGCTGGAGCTCTGATTTTGTTCCTTTACCAAAGTTGTTTACACTATTCTGAGTCTCTTGTATTTCTACAGAAACGTAAGAATCAAAATGTTAATCTTAATGAAAAGTGATGTTGGCATTTTGATGAGGGATTGTGTTTTCTGATCTTTATTATTTTCTTCTATTCATTTTTGGTTTATGCTGTCTGTTATTTTTAATTCTTAATAAGCACATTTTGCAACTTTCTTTTCTAATAAATGTACTTGGAGTTAAAAAAAAAACAAGGAAACAGAAGTTAATCTCATGGGTCACTGACAAGGAAAAACAGCAATGTTCTATCAGTGACATTTCACTGCTTTTTGAATTAACCATATTCATTCCTATTAAGAAGGAATATGTTAAAAAACAGCTTCTGCCTCCAAACATGGAGAAACAGGGACTGAATTTATCCTCCATGACAGCTACACTGGACTGTCAAAAGTAGGCTGGGCTGAGAGCCACCCAGGGGAAAAGCACTCTCGGGGTGAGTCTGAGTGGGCCGTGCAGGTGGGACCCGGGCACTCTGTCCGGTCCCCAGCTCTTTCCTCTCTGGTGCTACCTTCTGCTTTGCTACACTGCGCTCCTGCCTTGGAGCCAGCATTCCATGGACTGAGCCTTCTTTATTGAGCCCAATAAACCTCTTCTCCTTGAGGGTGCAGGTGTCTGATATTTTGTCCTGAGTAACACACACGCTCCCAACTGGAAAACACATAAAACAATGGCTTTTGAAGACATCATTGGTCATCAGGCAATGACACTGACGAGAAATGGATCGTTACGGTTGATACAGTGTGTCAGTTTGAGAGGTCTAGAAGCTTAGCTAGGTGCTTCAGCAGGGGCCAGGGTCTTCACTCTGTAACATCCTCAGCCTGTGCAGGAAGCACCTGCATGGTGTGAGTGCTGCATCCACCAAAGGGCAAAGCCCGCTTACAAGGTAAGGGCAGAAAAGAGACTGGCTCTGCCCTCCTTTTTATTCTTGCTGCTTTGCTGTCTTCTGCCACTTCGAAGGGTTGCCCTGTGCCACCCTGCCTTGGTGCCAGCCAACTAGGGACTGAAACCTCCACAAACTCTGAGCTAAATAAACCTTTCCTTCTTTCATTTTGGGTGCTGGGTATTTTGTCTCAGCAATGAGAGAAAAGTAACCAAGACATGAAACAAGCAAGTAAAAACCTACAATTACCTCAAGGTACTACCGAGCACAGGCCCAGGCAGAGAAAGCCACACAGGGCTGTGAAGATGCCTTGCTGAAAAGATGGAGCTGGGAGCTGAGCGGGCCAAGGCGGCTCAGGTGTAAGGGCAGGCGTTCAGGCACTGCAGTCACGAGCTGCGTACAGACCCAGGCAGCTGTGGCCACTGCGGAGGCGGACGGAACATCAACAACCCCTGGAGCTCGGGGAGGGAGCATGGCGGGGATCAGCCCGCAGCAGAGGCTGCTGTGACCCACACCCTACGACTTTAAAACAAGACCTCCAAGAATCAGTGTTTGCAAGTAACTTAACTGCATCTTAGGGGAAAAAAAACCTCAAGAATATTTGTAAGAATAAAAACAGCCATCACCCACTCAAGTAAATCACAATGCCTGGTTCAGGATCAAAAACTACCAAGAAAGGGCTGGAGGTTTAGCTCAGTGGCATAAGTACCTGCCTTGCAAGCAGGTGGTCATGAGTTCGATCCCCGGTACCGATAAAACCAACAGTCAACCTCCTACACACAGAAAGAGAGTTATCCCAAGGGCATTTTGTACATGAAAGAAGCAAAAGGAAGGAAACAAGTTAATTAGAAATATACACATAGGAAAGCCTGGACTAAAGGGCAAGAGATGAGAAAGGAAACAGAAGAAAAACACAACAGGAACTGAGAACTTCCAAGACAAAAGACCAAGAAAGTAAAACTGAGAAAAGAACAAAGTATCAATAGACCACAGGATAAAGTCACTCAGCTGTATCCTGTGTAACTGGGTATTAACTGTGTCTTTGGAATACAGGGAAGACAGAAAAAGGCTGAAGTGTCCCACATCTGATGAAAACCATAAACTCAAAGATCTGTGAAGTTCAATGAATCCCAAGCACAAGAAACAGAGAAAACTACTCAAAGGCAAGTGATACTCATCTTACTTAAGGCAAGTGATAAAAAGAAAAGGCTTCAAAGCAGCTCGAGGGGATAAAAAGTTAAAAATCCAATTCATATATAACTGTACCATGCAGGACATGGATCATGAATGACATCCGACCAGCAGGAAAACAAAACTAGGAGCCCCAGCAGAGCACCTTAATCCAGCACTCAGGAGGTGGAAGCCGAGGCAGGAAGATCACCCCGAGTTTGAGGCCAACCTGGGTGGTGCAGTGAGTTCAAGGGCAGCCTGAACTACACAGTGAGATGGTCTCAAAACAGACACAAATAAACACAGTTATGATACAGAAGCACAGAGTGGAATGGGGTGGCCAGAGGCCAGGGAGGACGGAGAGGAGGCCGGGCCGGGGTCAGGGTGGTCCACGAACTGAGGACCACGAACACTTATGATGCATGCATGTCTCAAGCCCCACTGGACACCCCAAATATTTTAGGTGTCCCTAAAAAGGGAAAACAAACCGACCCAAACCCACACCCTGCCCCCGGCTCTCTCTGATCCAGGCAGTCTTAGAGAGCCGTGTGTACCCAGCCAAGGGTCTCGGTACCTGATTCTACCGCTGGCCTCAGCTCAAAGTAGACAGGGCAGCAGCGCACAGCGAGCGTCGCCTTCCCGGGACACGGAAGGTGGGCGATCGGCCTGTCAGGGGGACCGAGTTCAGAAACAGACACGGCCACTACACAGACACCACGCTCCCCCTCCTTGCCCTCCACTTACCGTTTGAGGTTCTTCCTGGAGAAGACGTAGGTGGTGTTGGTGACGTTCTCCCCAGACTCCACGCATCCGGCTGGCAGGCAGAGGCAGAGGCAGGGAGGGGGGTCAGGGTCAGGGTTCGCCGTCAGCCCCAAAGCACACCCACAACCCCCTCCCCCGTCTGGTTGGGGAGACGTCTTTTCCCTAAAGCCGGGTCGCTGGACAGTGTTTGATGACAAGTCTAAGTGTCTGTCACCACCTGGTATCACAACCTGGATGGGGGCTCACAGCCCGGGAACCCAGGCGGGAAGAACACAAAGTGGGGGCCCTGCTATCAAGGACCCCACCTAGGCCAAGCCCAGGACGAAGCCCAGGATGCCATGGCCACCAGGCTCCGACCCTGCTGTTGCTCAAGGCTGTGTGACTGGACCTTTCCCATTGGTCAGACCCAGCGCTGGTCACTGCTTCTGGCCTCCTACAGGCGGGGAGCCGGAGCCAGAGCCATGAGACTGTCACTCAGTGCTCCTAGAATCGCCTCCTGTTCCCATCTCTTGACACAGAAAACCTCACACATGACCATTTCATATGTTAGAATCAGGAGCTTTTTACTATCACTTTTCTTGTTTTGAGTTTTTGTTTTTTGGGGATTTTTGTGGGGGTTTTTGAGACAGAGTCTCTCCATGTGGTTCAGACTGACCCTGAACTCACTCTATAGCCCAGTCTGGCCTTTAACTTGAGGCCATCCTCCTGCCTCAGCCTCTAAAGTGCTGTATTATGGCTGATTGTCACCACATACGGGTCACTGGGCTCAGTACATAACTGTTGATAAAAATGTTTTATTTTTTTTAACTTTTTTTTTTTAATTGCTACCAGGGATCGAACTCTTGACTGTGCACTTGCAAGGCAGGCGCTTATGCGGCTGAGCTAAATCCCCAGCCCGATAAAAATGTTTTAGTAAATAACTTTAGTCCATACTGTAAGCAGCGACTCCTGAGAGCTCGCCAGCCCAAGTGCCAGCCCCACATATCCCTGGTTGATGCTCTTTAGGCCACACACACATACATGCATGATTCGTGCCCTGCAGCCTAGCTGGTTCTCAGTGGCAGACCTGACCTGGGCCCTCCCGAAATCCAACCCTGGGTGACACCTTCATGCACAGGATGGTCTGCAGCCATGGGGTCACCAGGCGCTGTGGTGAGGGCACTGCACCGGTGGGCGTTGCTGCGGGCTGCAAAGCCATCCTGTCCCAGCATCCACCTCGCCCCCAGAAGCCCAGCCACACCCGACCCCATCCAGCCCTGTGCTCATGACTCCCGCATGCACAGCTACTTGAAAGTCTTGCAAGTCCCCAGCGCTGAACATCAGAACCGCTTGGAAATCTTTTTAAAATTCCAAAAGCAGACCCACCCACACCAGGCCAGTGAAGCCACCATCTCTGGAGAGGGGACACAAGTGGCAGTGCCTTTTCTGAGCTCCCCTGGAGGCTGCAGTGTGCAGACTGTGCTGAGCAACAAAGCCGCAGGGTTCCCCCCAACCCCCTACTCTGCACCCAATGTAGCCGACCTGGGGTGAGGAGCAGGGAGCCGTCGGGCGTGAAACTGAGTCTCCGGAAGAAGGACTTCATGCTATCGTCGTGGAACATCCGGTAGCTCCTAGCCTGTGGCACAGGAAGTTGAAACATCACTGCAGATCCAAGGCTCAATTGCTGTGACAAAGTAACAAACTGAAACATTCTGCAAATCTACAACTATGTAAGACTGGCAGAGGCCCTGCTGGCAGGGCCGAGCACCCCTTCTGTTCAGGAAGTCTGTATGTGAGATCTTAGTAACTGTGTGTTAGAATTTCCAAGAAATTCTAAATTAGAACAAGCACTTTTTTCTTTTTTAAATCATTTTATTTCAAGGATAAAAAAAAAAAAACAAAAAACCCAATTTCAAAACATGTCAGTCGAAGGAGCGCTTTCTAAAAAAGCGAATGGGAAGATCACAGTGGTCATCACCTTCTCACACGCTCCCTGACTATTCCTGTTCCCCGCTTATGTATGCCAGGCATCTCTCTAGGGCTGGGTCCTATTTGCCTGCTCCTTCAGACCCAGCCTCTTCTTCGCTCCGGTCCCCAGGTGTCCCCATGTGTCCCCATTTCCACAGTGGCCAGCCCCACACTGACTGTGCCTTGTGGTTGGTGTGACATCTATCTGGTCCTTGAGCCCAAAGATTCAGCTGTGAGGACAGGTGGGGAGCTCAGACTTCCCCGGTTTCTACTCTAGGACAGTGTGCCTATTTCATACCTCTCCTTCGGCCCCGACGCCAGACAGCATCTTGGAAACATTAAAAGCCACGCGTTTCTTCTGTGTGCTGTACACGCGCAGCACCCTGGGGAAAGAAGAATGTGAATTCCATCCTTTCGTGAATGAAGTGTGTCTGCTATCCACTATCACCTCGACAGGGGTGAGGGATGGGAGGGCAGAGGTACGGGGAAACAGGCCATGATTAGGTTTATTTATTTTTCAACAGGGTTTTAGCTTCTCAAGTGGGACACACTTTAGGACCAGTCTCATTTTTTACGTCTTGGGCATTTGGTCCAGGGGCAGTCGGTATAAATGAAGTTTGTTCTGCACAGAGCGGTCTCACTTTGGGGGATTTATGAGACTAAGAAAAACACACAGGCAAAGTCACAGTATTCCCACTAACCCATCAAACTGTTGTACTCCTGCTTGGCTAAATAAAAACACAAATCAGAAAATAAGTGGCATTCAGAATGTCAATGAGAATAAACACTCACTATCATATGTTGGGCTTATCCCAGTGCTATCATAAACTCAATGTTTAAAGTAATAGTAGTTAATAAATATGCAAAAAGAGTATTTTGCTAAATAATATAATAAGAACACCTCAATTTCTTAAACTATTTGTTCAAAAATGCAATTATACCAACAAACAGAATGATGACACTTCCTCTAGAAAGCAAAGCACACTGGGGGCAGGTGACAGTGCTGGGGACCCAGGGCCGTCACAATTACCCACATCCTGCACTCTCATTTCTAACTTTGAGACAGGGTCTCACTAAGTCACTAAATTGCCGAGGCTGGGCTCACACTTGCGATCCTTCTGCCTCCACCTCCAGAGGGCTGGATGACAAGCATGAACCACCATGCCTGGCAAAACATTTTATTTATTTATTTATTTTTTGGAACCAGGATCCGAACTTACAACCTTGCACTTGCCAGGCAGGTGCTGTGCCACTGAGCTGAATCCCCAGCCCGACATAATTATTTTTTTGTCTTTTTCTTTTTTATCGGTACCGTGGATCGAACTCAACGACCACACACTTGCAAGGCAGGTGCTTATGTCACTGAGCTAAATCCCCAGCCCCCATATTTTTTATATCAATTTACAGAGTCATTAAAATTACCATAGTAGTAAACTGTCATCACAAAGTGAAAGAAATGAACTGGGAATGTAGCTCAGTGGCAGAGTCCTCGACTGGCATCACACACACATGCGCACACACACGCTCACACACACACACAGGAGTCTGTACTGAAGTAAATATGTCAATCCTTCTACTCATTTTCTTAAGTTACATTCATAAAAATCCTTGGGAAATCAAATGTAATTCCCACTTTATTTGATGTCAGACACCTCTGCCTACTTGTACCCTGATTCAATACATTTCCTAAGCACCAGCTGCATGTGGCAGCGCCCAAATTAGTTTCCACTTCTTACCATGTTCTAAGAGTAACAGGAGAAAACAGGAGAAACGTCACGGCCCGACTGTGACTTACCCCCGTTAAGCTGTAACATACAGACCTCTGCAGGAAATTCCCGAGAACACAGAAAAGAAAACTTGCTGAATACCCACGTACCTGTCACAGCTCAGCGTGGCCACGTACTGACCCAAAGGATCCCAGGTTACTCCCTGCACGTAGCTTTTATGTTCATTAAAAATTGACATCTTCTGTCCTACAAAAAACAGCAACCACAACAAAAACACTGCACATTACCGAATCTTACACATCATGTCACTGTGCTACTGATGTGACTCCCTTTACTCTGCGCCCTCCGATGGCAGAAGAAACAGAGGCTCAGCTCTGTGCCGTGCACTGCATCCAAGGGACAACGCCACACAGCCCTGCCCTCCAAGAGAAGACAGGGCAAGGACTCAGCTGTGCCCGGGTGAGGACGGCATGGCGTGGGCCCGAGGAGGAAGAGGAGCAGGAGGAGGCATGAGTGGTACAGAAGAGCCGACTTTCCTTCTCCAGGGTCCCCGAGAAAGGGGACGGGGACGGGCACGGGGGCGGGAGGAGACTCAGGGCGCTGCCTGACAGTGGGAGCTGTTGACTGGGTGGGCAGAGACCCAGAATACCACGGTCAGCAGGAGAGGAGCTGCATCCAGGGTGCGGCCACAGGGAACCCATGCTGGGATGTGGTCTGTGTTCTAAAGATGTGACTCAGCCTTAGAGAAGACAACGCAGTGGGTCACTGTCTGGAGTCAAGAGGTGACACAGACTGGTCTAGGTCTAGAGTCCAGGAAGGACCTCGAGAGGAGCCATGTAAACAAGAGCAGCACAGAGCTGGGCCTAGGGGTGCACGCCTATAATTCTAACACTCGGGAGGCTGAGGCAGGAGTATTTAGAGTGCAAGGGAAGCCTGGAATACACAGAAACCGTGTCTCAAAACACAAAAACAAAAATAAAATATAATGAAACAAAACAGGGATGGCTTAAGTCTTTGGGGAAAATACTGAGACGAAAACAGCAGCAGACTGAGATGACCTGCAAAGAACGGGTTTGCGAAGCCCTCACCACCTTTTTAGGGAGCCACGTCTTGATGTAAACTGTTTACAGGGTTTTTATGATTCCTCGTACGTATGTAAGGCCATGACTTAGGCTCCTCTTTTTCTTTGTGGTGGTGCTGGCGATCAAACCCAGGACCCTGTGTGTGCAAGGCGAGAGCTTGACCACTGAGCCCCAGTCCCAGCCCTCCACGTCTTTCACATGTGCCTCTCCTGCCTGAGGTAGTGTTCGACAGCACCCCTACCCTGAGATTCCTTGCCATGATCCTCAGCCATTCTGCAGTGGCAGCAGGAACCTGACAGGTTTTCTCTGCCAACCCTGATAGTGGCCCGGTGTCCCCTGCGTCTCCAGTCTGAACCCAGTCGATCTGGCAGCGTTCAGCCCACAAACCCCCACCAGGCTGACATGTCTGGGCCCACGGCCACTGCACACCCTAAGTCCACAAATGTGGGCTCAGAGCGCAATGCATCCATCAAGCCCCGCTGCTTCTGCGACCAACAGCCGGAAACCCCATCCTCGAACCACAGGCTTGTGCTACCTGCTGACAGCAGCAAGGTCCCCCCCCCCGCCCCCCGTGCATCCTCCGAGTGACACTGGGACAGCGCTGAACTACTGATGGGTCCCCACACTTGCAGGGTGTGTGACAGGCACCTTTGCCTGGGACAGGACAAGGGGTGTGTGGCCTAACTCACTGTTCCAAGGGCTTCACCATTCTCAGAAACTGCATGATGAGAGCCCTCCATCCCCATTGCCACCTGCTGTCCCCATCTGTCACCTGTGGGCCTCTAGGCTCAGTGACCAAGGTGAGGGATGGAGGGAGACCAAGGTGGTGTATGGGGCATGGGGCGGGGGGAAGTCCCGGAAGACAGCTGGGAGCACTGGGTGTCCGGGCCGGACACCGGGGACTCAGGGACACTGGCTATGGTATCCTCCCAGGTGGACAGCAGGCTCTACAGAGGCATGGACACTGGTCACCGCCTACTGCATCAATGCGCACGATGCTGCTTTCCTGACGGATGCCTGTCAACCCACCTGTGACCCTCAACTCCACGCAGGAACCAGACCCGCTCGTTCTGTCCTCACTCTGGGCACAAGAGCTCTCTCAGGTGGACACCAGTGAGTCATGATGCCACAGTTCTGAGTGAGGCCATCAAAGCGCAACTGGACCCACACCTGTGGGGCAGATCTCTCTCCTGATGACCAACCACTATTTCAGTGGCCACTGAGGAGATTGTTTGAGCTACTCTCTGTGTGTATGTGGCCCACTGGAGACTGCTCCCGCAGACCTCAGACTGAGGGTCTCGCTAAGCTGCCCAGGCTGGGCTCAAACTTGGGATTCCCTCCACTTCAGCCTTCCAGAGTGCTGGGATTAGTGTGTGCACCGTAAGGCCTGGCCTCATGGTACTTTTAAAGCTAAAGCCAGTGAGGTTTTTCAAGACACTTAAATATTCCTTTACTCCCCCTCTTACCTTTACTGACATCCCATATGATGGCTGTGTTATCCACAGAGGCAGAAGCCATCAGATTCCCGTCAGTGGCCCAGCAAATGTCATACACATCTTCTAAGTGTCCCCTACAGCCCAGAGAGAAAAATAAGCCATTAATGTCTCAAAATCATTACTAAAAATTTAAAGGCACAATCAAGGCCCATATGTTAGAATGAGTCTAGACATTTCCTCTGGGACTATGTTGGTTCTAGTTACTGACAGTTCTTTTCAAGGATACTCACAGCTCTAAACCAGGTTGACTTTTTTTTTTGTTTGTTTGTTTGTTTTTTGAACAGGGTCTCTCTCTGCAGTTCAGGATGATCTTGAACTCACTATGTAGCCCAGGCTGCCTCAAACTCACAGCAATCCTCCTGCCTCAGCCTCTTGAGTGCTGGGATTACAGACCAGGTTTCAGGACAAATTTATAGCAGAAACTAAGCAAGTTTATTTTCATGATGCTTTGAGCCTTTATTTTCTTATGAGTGGGTAAAAGTTTTCAATTATACAAAGCTGCATCCTTCATAAAAAAAAAAAGTTTTCAATTAAATGAGGTCAACAGACATATCCTGAGTCAGGCGTGGTGGCACACCCTGTAATCCCAGGAGGCTAAGGCAGGAGGATCACTGCCAGCCTAAACTACACAGTGAGACCCTGTGTCAAAAGAAAAAAAGGGTGGTGGGGTAGGGGAGAGGCACAGGGCTCTGTTTAACACCAACAGGCCGTGAAGCTCCATCACCCCCGGAGCACTCCCCAGTCACCTCAGGGTCTTCACCACGGTCCAGTTCTCTTTGTTCAGCTGTGCCTCGTCCTCATCCTGGAATGCGATCTGCTCCGGCTCCTTGCTGTCGTTCACCCTCCACAGCAGGATGACGGCATCTGGAGGGAGAAGCGGCTGCGGTGAGCAGCTCCTGCGGCAAACGAGCCGCAGCCATGGGGCTGGGAGAAGCAGCTCTGCCTTCTGGACGAGGCTCCAGAAAGTCCACATGGGCCAGAGCCCCCCACAGCTGCCTTCAACAGACATGGGTCCTGGCCACTACAGTGCCACTGCCAAGCAACTAAGCACGCCCCCAGTCTAAAGCAGGGGTTAGCACGCTATTCTGAACCATGTAACCCTTGGCCAGTCACTGGGGCTCTCCAGGCCTGAGCGTCCTCTGGAAAATGGGGGGGCAGGGCCAGGTATGGCAGTGCATGCCTGTAATCCCAGCACTCAGAGGCTGCGGTGGAAGGATCACCCTGAGTTCAAAACCAGCCTGGGCTCCATAGTAAGTTCAAGGGGACGTAAGATGCACTCCCTTAGCAGGCCACTATGGGGATGAAAGGATTATCAATAGGGTGCCCGCACACTGCACACCCTACATCATCGTTAGCTACCAGTACCAGCAGATACCACAGCCTGATGCCAGAGAGACCTGAGTGTGACAATTGCCCTTGTTCCGACTGGCACTGACCATGTGATCTGCTCACCACTCACTGCTCACCCAGGAAGCGGAGGATGCATGAGCTGGAGGGTAAATGGGCACACACATGCCCAGATGAAATGCACATTGCCTCTGCAAGCTCGGCCCCTACAGTGCCAGAGAACAGCAGGTCTCTGGGCCTCAAGGCCAAGGGACGTTGCAAACTGACAGCTATCCTGTTCAACCTTATAGAAGATGGCCTGTGCTCCCCACCTCTGGGACTCCCACTCCCTACCTTTCCCTGCAAACATACACACACTGTGGTCCCATGTGCCTGAACTCCATCAGGTCTCTTTTCCTCCTCCTGCAAACAGAGCCTAAGATTCCCAACTAGGTGCTGGGTGCACACCTATAATCCCAGCTCCCTGAGACCCTGACACAGGAGGATACCAAGATCAAGGCCAGCCTGGAAACCGATTCCCTCTCACGAAGTGAAACAAAAAGGGAAGAGGATATACAGCTCAGGGGTAGAGCACCATCCGGTTTCATTCTCAGTACTGCAAACCAAACCAAAAATCACTGAGATTCTACTTTGTACCACTCTCTAGACTGCATGGTAAAGGTTTAGACTTTGTTTATATAGTTTCACCCTACATAAGCATGGTCAGAAAATGTGAAGCAATCTGTTCTTACCTAAAAAAGCACAAATTCCAGGCCACTCATTCCCAACCACTAATTAGTTACGGACTCTGGTCACCACAGATGTTTCGGTCAGAAATCTTGCCCTGGCACCCTGACCAGCCTCAGGCAAGAAGACGGAAAGCGTGCAATCCTTTGTCCCGAATACTGACAAGACTCCCCAAAAGGTTACTTCACTAAACCAAATGACAGATGGAAATCAGCAGGAACAGCAAGTAAAAAGCATATCCTGTTTGGGGTGGTGTGCATCTGTAATCCCAGCATTCTCAAAGCTAAGGCAGGAAGGGCACCATGAGTTTGAGACCAGCTTTGGCTACATAGTGAGTTCAAGCCCAGCCAGAACTGCAGTGAGACCACAACTCAAAAAAAAAAAGCACTTATGCTGCTTAATCCTCATTACTTGAGACACACAGGTATCTAGTTTCTAAAGGATTTCTGAAGTACAATAATACTCACCATCTCCTCCTGATGCTAAAATCTCCCCGGTTGGAGAAAAACGCACGACATTGACAGCTTTGGTATGGCGAGCAAGATTGGACAAAAATTCCACAATGGCTTTTCCATCTGGTCCTTTTTCTACCTTCCAGATCTGTTGATATCAAAACATCCGATAGAGAAATATATAGTGAATACTCACAATCGTGCTCATACTGAAGCACATCTATGCTTGTTTTCCATCAGATTTAATTTTCTTTTGAAACATAAAATGTTTTGAAACACATGCCTTTCTGAACCGTAAAACCAAAACGGCACACTGGCGCACACCTGTAATCCCAGCCCTCCGGAAGCTGGGGACCACTGTGAGTTCAAGGCCAACCTGGGCTACAAAATGAGTTCAAAGCCAGCCTGAACTACATCGGGAGGCCTTGTCTTAAAAAGACCAAAAAAAAAAAAAAAAAAAAAAAGAAGAAAGAAAGAAAGAAAAGCAACTCTCTTTTGCTTTCATTATTCACACAGACCCAGAAATGTTAGCATTCTACGCCAGATGACAATGCACTTTGCATTTGCTGACAGTTTTACGTACAGGAATGAAGGTGGCAGAGCACACATCTAATTCCAACACTTTGGAGGCTGAGGCAGGAGGATCACCACGAGTTTGAGATCAGCCTGGGCTATATATAGCAAACTCAAAGCCAGCTTGGAATACACAGTGAGACCTTGTCTCAAAAACGACTAATCAATAAGTAAAAACTGTGACTCCAAGCAAGACTCTCCTACATCTTCCATTCCCTGCCCAACTCACCCTGACCGCGGTGTCCACTCCAGCAGATGCCAGTCTGTGGATTTTCCCTGCCGTGGCGTACTGGAAATCGAGGCTATACACCGGCTCCTTGTTGTGCCAGACTATTTCACACGTGATGACTTTCATCCTCCTGAGCTCTGGGTGGAACAAAAAATTCCTCCGGCTTCGTACTTTCTGCAAAGAGAGAAGGCTAAAGGAACGCCAGTACTGAATCAGATGGCAATATTCCTGCACCAACCTGAGTGCCTGCTTGGAAGGGAGGCGGGGAGCCAGAAACCCTGACAATCTTGTAAAAGGCTGTCTGTGCCCACGAGCTGGGAGAGGGTGCTGACGCGGCCATCTGACATGAACACCTCCAAACCCCACCTACCACACGTTTCCTTGAATCCGGCGTGCCCAACTTCAGGACTGCTCTGGTGCATACAGGAAAGCAAAAAGTCACCCTAGCCCGAGAGCAAAGCCCAGTTTAGCAGAGGAACGGGCTTCCCGGAGCAAGGGGTCAGGAGGAAGGCGGCCGCAGAGGAGGGGCTTCTTGGAAGAACAGGGTCATGGAGGAGGGGGACTCCTGGAAGGGAGGCTGGCTGGAGAGGGGTGCACGGCACGGGGAAGGGCTTTCTGGAGGAGGGGTCACGGAGAAGGGAATGGTCCCAGGCAGAGGCCTCCCGCAAGAGGGGTTCTCGCGTGGACGTGGGGGCAGGACTGCGGGCCGGGACTCAAAGCAGGAAGCCGCGCGACGCAGAGGCCTGGAGGGACCGCACGGCCGCACAAGCGCCGCTCCGGGGCTGGCTAAGTCCTAGCAGCCGGCTCTAGGCGAGCAGCGCACGCTCGACTCGGCCCGGCGGGGAGCCCCCAAGGGAGAGGGTGGCTAGTCCCAGGAAGCAGTACCTGCACGGACACCACGGAGCCGCCACCTCCCGCCACCGCGCGCGCAGCTTCCCGCGCGCCGCAGGCCCCGCCCCGAGTGGGCGGAACTTATAGAACGCACGCCCCCCTATAGGCGGGGCCCCGTAGGGCCATCCTTTAGGTAAGCAGGGGAGCGCACCGTCCTCTCAGGGGCGGGGCTCCGGGATGTCCCGCCCCTCCTGGGGCCAGGGTTTGGATTCCCGGGAGTTTCTTCCAGTTCGTTGATCCTGCAGAACCCCGCGCTGGTGCAAGAATGCATGAGTTCACTGGGTCTTTGATTCGACCACTCATTCCTTGTTGCTTTATTCATTTACTGAGTGAGCATCTGCTAGAGGTTAGAACCTGTGCTGGCCTTGGAAAACCAATGGCGGGTAAAGCTAAGTCAGAAGGACCCTTGGGGATTTCACCTCCTAAATTCTTCCTACAGAGAAAAGGGGGGAAACATCAGCGCTCCGCCCAAACCATCAGAATGTTCCCTGGCGTGGTGACTGGTTGACAGCGGTCTTTCCTCAAAAGTGCAGCCTGCCTGGTTTCCCCACTTGCAAGGGTCAGTGAAGGAGACTCCATCCTCCAGAGTCTGGAGCTGTCCTGAGAGACTTACACAAAGATCACAAGGAGAAGATGGAGTGGGAGAGAGGGGGAAGGAATAGAGCACCTTCCATGAAGTCGCTTAGGGAAGTGAAAGCTCAATGGAGTTTGAAAAGTAAGGTGGATTATGTTTTTGGACGGTAGACATGAGCCAAAGCACAGCTCAAGCTAAGGACAGAGCACAGGGCTGCACTAAGAGAGCACCAGGCCCGGGGATTGGGTGGGACAGGATGGAGCTGCGTCCCAGAAGCCTGTGGGTGCTACTGGGCAGGTGGGAGGGGTGTTTCCATGGCAGCTTTTAAGTCCGGTTCTAAATGAACTGGAATCCTGATGGCAGTGTCACTCCTGTGGGTTGGTTGAGACAAGTCAGGACCTGGTCAGGTAAATGCTCACCACTGCCCATGGAAAATGTAAAAGATGGAAATACATCTCTTGTTATTTTCAAGACAAAGGTCTTATGATGTAGTCCAGACTGGCCTTGCAAAATTGTCCTGCCTCAGTCTCCTGAATGCTAAGCTTACAGGTATGTGCCACCACCACCAGCTGAGATGAAAGTTAGGTCACACTTAATAATACTGTGCATCTTATTGCCATAACATTTGAGTCCTATTTTACAAGACATCCTTCTGTGGTTCCAAGTCTGTTAACTCTTACAGAGCAAAACACTGACCCTGGAAGCTTATCTATCCCTCACTTGAGCTGAACAGGCGCATCTGCTCAGGGCACTCTCACAAGGTGTGTGGGAAAAAAAGCTGTAACCGTGACTCCCACCCAAAGTCTGTGACAAAGAGTTTGCTCTCCCCGAGTCCACTCAACGGCTCTACCTGTACTTGCTCTGGACTTTCTTCCCACAGGCCACTGTAGGAAAATTAACTTTGTGACTGAGAAATCTAACTCTAAAACCTATCAATGTATGTATTTTTTCTTGATGGCATTCCTTTTGTGAGCTGTGGCCCAATGTCTGAAAGTTGAGCAGACGGACACAAGCCCACACATGAGCTAGGGACGAGGCCACTCTGCCTACAGAGGTATTTCTGAAATGCATTTGCTCAGGGCTGCATCGATGCGAACTCTGAAGTTCTTTACAGCAGTAAGACAAAGAACCTGGGAAACTGAGTGCCGAAAGAACACAATATAGACACAAAAACGGAAACATCAACAGAACATGAAAATATGTCCACCGAGACTGGCAAACAGTGTTGCTTATAGCAATTTATATGGCACATACACTGCCCCCTCCAGAGTCCACACTGTCCTGTCTAACTTTCTGTTAGCAGTATTGTCAGTGTTATATTTAATGAGTGGAAAGTACACAAGAAGTTCTGAAGACCCAACTTAGCAAGTTTCTCTTATGAACCCTATGGTTAATTTTCCCATTTCATTAGATAACAACCATATATAAAGTACATTTTTCAAGAATACAGAAGCTGACCAAAAGGAAGGGGAAAATGATAATTTCCCAAAAGAACCACTATTTCAAGTCAGTCATAACCCTTCCCTGACTGACACAGGTACAAAAGGTCAGGCGCAGGGTTTCTCCAGGTGAAATATTGTATACAAAACAAAGAGCACACATACGCCCTTCCTCAGATGTAAAGGAAAAGTGTCTTAGTCTTGTAATAATGTAGTAAAAGCTACTAGGTAGTAGCAACTTGAAGGTCTCACAGACAGAATACTGTCAAGTTAATATCGAAGTCTTTAAAAGTAATATGTAAAGAGTTAGCCATCATATATTTTTATTATAAGATTTTTTTAAATTTGGGAAGTTACAACTGTGACAGAATCCCAGCTTCATACCAAAAATACACTTTCAATTACTGAACAAGCAAATAAAAACAACCTCCATTTACTTGTTCCTTCCACAAGGTATTATACATTTTTTTCATTATATATGATGTACATGTAATTAAACAAACATACAAAATGAGTATGTGTTGAATTTTCAGAAATAAAAGTAAAAATAAATAGCAATGATAAACCTTTGGAAAAAATAACGCTTATTTTGTTGTGGAAAATATGATTCTTAATTATATACAGTTATATATTTAATAGAAAGCCTTGTTAGGATTGCACAACCATGAAACCAATGAAACCTATCTTCTGGCCTGAAATACTATAACCCCAGGGCAGTATGCTGCAGGCTCCTGGATGCAGCATGCTGAGATCTGGAGTACGGTCGAAGTATGCAGCAACTGTTCAAGAAAGACTGTCTTCTTCAACTTAAGTTAATCTGTAGTAACCTTACACAACGCTAGAGAGGAAATTTCACAGAAAGAAATATTAAATAATGATAGTGCCCATTCCATGCTGAATAAACAGCCCAAAATGGGCTTTAAAGTAAACCTGGTGATCCACTTACTATTTTTAATACTTTTACTGAAGATCATTTCTTTGTCCTATAAAAACACTTTGTATTTAAGCCTGTTGGCAATTTCAGCACCAGAAAAATCCTGGCAAAAAATCTTATCAATCATATTTTAAGAAAACCAAAGGTGGTATTGTTTCATGTTTGTATTATGGGGACAGCCATCAATTCGGAGAAAAATACTTTTGGAAACAAGAAAAAAACTGCATCAAGCTTAGGGATAACTTGAAAAGCTCTTGGTGAAAAACACGTACTTCAGAGCAATAAAAAAATATGTGTAGGCTTAATTACAAATATTTACATTCAAAACGCAATCCTAAGTTAGCCATTCAGCTGCCCGATGCAACCATTCATAGGTGTTTATTTCACAAAGTAAATAGCACGGCATCACAGCATTCTGTGCATGAAGTGCAGTGAAGATGAGGGTTCTGCAGCCGGCCGTCCGTCCACCTTGTCCACCTTATCTATAAAACCAAACTATGTACATGTGAAAGCTATACACCGCCAAGGACTGGGTACATGTTTTATTATTTCCCTTGAGGTCTGTCTTATGTACTACTGATTTCACTCATTTGTTCCACAACCTGCCCCAAGATCTCGTCAACCACATCAACGTCGTAATTCACTTGCTGGAGATTAAGATCAGGAACAATCATAGTCAGCAGCTGCCCCACGTTGACGCGCAGAGATCGAAGCTTGAGGCTGCAAATATGAACGGGAACACCCATCAGAGAAGCATCACCACACAAACAGCCCTTACAGACCGGCAGTGAAAATATTACATCTCTGTAGAATGACAGCTGAACTGAGAAGAGTGAAATGCCCCCTGGAGAATTGGATTACAAATTTAGTAATTCCTTCCATCCATTGGATATTAGTCTAAGTTGAAAGAGTATGTTTCAAGCCAGGTGTGAGGGCACACGCCTGTAATCCCAGCACTCAGGAGGCCGAGGAAGGAGGACCTGTATGAATGAAACCAGCCTGAGCTACACAGTGAATTCAGGGCCAGCCTGAACTACACAGGCTGTCTCAAAAAAAAGAAAACCCAAAAAACATTTTTTTAAAAAAAGGCGTGTTTCATAAATAAATTTAGTGGTATCTTCTGGTTCCTACATCTTATAATTTGCAAACTGGAGAAAACATGGACAAAATATATAAACTAGAGGATATGATTGCAATTTAGTCTTGTTATCAGTTGGAAAATAGCCATATGCCAAAAAAAAAAAAAAAAAAAAAGCCATATGGTAGTGAAAACAATGATTTTGAAAACAGAATTCATTTCTTTAAATTCCATCTTTTGTTTGAGGAAAATACAAATTGTCCCACTAAAACATGTAAGAGAAAAAACAGCTCTGTGGTGAGATAAACTTGCAAAACTGTGTTAAATACAGTTAAGCTTTCTAAATTATGAGACTTCTCTGAATCTGTTACACACTCAGGTTCACAGCCATCCATCTCACCACGCGCCCACAGAGAACTGTTTCACTGAAACACTGGGAAACCCTGGCTGGAGGCTTATCACTGTTAATTGCTGCCAAGGTCATGACTGTCCAAAGAAATTCCAGAGCTGGCCGTGTAGCTCAGTGGTAGAGCACTGGCCTACCATGTTTGAGTTTCGGGATTTGACTCCTAAGACTGCTTTTAAAAGAAAAAGTAAGTATTTGGGGCTGGGGATTTAGCTCAGTGGCATAAGCGCCTGCCTTGCAAGCAGGCAGTCGTGAGTTCGATCCCCGATAAAAAGGAAAAAGACAAAAAAAAAAGAAAGTATTCAAACAGTGAACACTAAAACTGTAAGGCAGTCTTCCCCTCTCAGAGGCAGACCCCAGGAAATGCTAGAACTGCTCTCGTTCTGCGTGTTCTCCAGGTCAATCCATATTTATTCAGATCCTGATTTTTCTAGGATGGAGCTCTCTGCTATGATGCACATCCTTAGGTTGCCAATGCAGAAAAAGTGTCACTTGCAAGGAGGCAGTCGTGAGCTCGACCTCCGGTACCGATAAAAAGGAAAAAGACAAAAAAAAAAAAAAGAAAAGACCGCACGGGACCACAGATGAGACTGTACTTCCTTCGCATAGCAGCCATTTTTCTCCACACTTAACACTCACAGCCAGGCAAAGGTCGGTAGCGGAGATTCCTTGCACTTTGTTTTCCAGAAGTTGTTAGGCAACCTATGCTATCTCCTCCTGAGACTATGTCCTCTTCCACAAATAAGATCTCAGGCCCACAAGAAGTGCAAACCACTAGTAGGACCTCTTTTACCAGCTCTTTCCTGTATGTCTTGATAGTCCCTGCTACTTACTGATTGTGTCAGGCTCCTAGTTTCAGTGTCTAAATTGTCCTAGATAAACAGCGCTAGCTCCTAAGTTGAATCTTACTTATTCCAGGAGCCACAGTAAAACGTTAAACAAAAATCTGATTTTAGTAGTATATTTTCTTTAAAACAGTGTAGCCAAAATATTGCTTTATAATTTCATGATGGCACACACCTGTAATTCCAGCATTTGGTAGACTGAGGCAGGAAGAGTTGTTACCTGGAGTTCCAGGTCAGCCTGAACTACATAGCAAGCAATTGTCTCAACTTAAAGCAGGTGTAGCACATCTTTTTTCCCCTTTCACATGAGGGTCTCAGGAGTCAAAGCCAATCTCAAAATTCAGACTACTCACGTTTCAGGTGTCAATACACATGTGGCTGGTGGCTGCTACACAAAGGCTACCAGTTACTATGAATCACCCCGAGGTTTGTTTAATTAAGGAGTCTCTAACTTAGTAAGTGGCAGGAGGATCCATCTCCAAGGCACACAGGTACTCACAGGACCTGGTCCTCACTTTTAGAAGTATTGGTCAAGACATTTTGGGCCTCTGGCCTCCGTGCTTACAAAGTGCCTTCACTAGGTCCGCTGAGACACAGGTGAACGCTGCTGCCAAGCACCGCCCCCCGCCTCCCCACCGAAGGCCGACTAGCTCATGACCGTGGTGCATCCCCAGCCACCTTACTCCCGGAAGCTGACCCCGTGCACTTTTCCAGCTCTTCCCTAAGTCAAAGTGACCATGAAAGGTGAAGGCTTTGAATTGATTCAGGACATCAGGCAGCCACGATGGCTCACATAAAAGCACCCTACGAGCTGCTTCGGAAAGTGGCCAGAACAATGGGTTGAGTTTGTTCCCAGTGAGGAGTCTTTAGCATTCCACTGAAGAAGTTTGGTAGCAGAAGCCTGGGACAGTAAGAACTCCTCATCCTTTTGCTTGGTGTTCCCTGGTAGCACTGAGGTAAGGCAAAAAGACCACAGGTCCCTGGTCAGACCCACGGACAGAGTGGAAGAGGTCTGTAGACAGTGGATACCTACCCATCCCAGGAGATCTCTTAACCACATCAGTTGCCAGCGGGAGGAAGCCGCTGTTTGTTAAGCTCGCTACTGAGCACTGCTGAAGAGAAGGAAGCTACCACCATCTCTCCTTTTCTTATTACTGTTCAAATGAAAACAATTCTAAGGCTCACCATCACATCGACTACCCAAATTTCTGTTTTTAAGACAGCTCCACCGCAAGCCACCGATCCCAATGGGACATTCAGCTCTCAGACTACTATAAGCCATCTTTATTGCCAGCAAGTACAGAATCCTGAGACAAGGCAGGACTGTGGCGATGACCTGGCCCCCTGGAAGCAAGTCTGCTTCCCCTCTTTCCCTGGGAATTACGAGGGACAAGCCCTCCTGAGCTGCCACAGCTTCTGCCTGACCTCACTTCTTTGTAGCTACCATCTGTCCTTTCTGGCCTGGGTGCCGACCACACTCATCTCTGTCTGTGGTCTGGATACAGCATCAGGGCCTCTACATCCCAGGATCTTCCATGCCCCATGGTCACTGCTCTCTCCTCAGGGACCAGGACAGGCATTGCTGCTTGTCCACATTTCCCCAGTGGGATAAAGTTTGGTCATCACCCTGTCACCCCTCAGGCCTAGATAGGAGTTTGCAGCTAGGGCACATGGGCTGATTCTGCTGGTGTTGACAGTTTGTTTTCTTTTAGGTTCAGCATTCCCCTCCCCATTTTCTCCAAACAGTCCTACAGAGACTGATGCTGGAGACAGAGTTGGTTTTCTTGGCTAGATCTGCCATTTCAAGCCCCAGTGATAGCACTTTTTCAGTGTATCCTTGGCACCACTGCACCCTAGCTGGGGTAGCTGCGGCAGAAGGACCACAGGTTTGAGCCCAGCTTGGGCAACCTGGCAACTTAGACCTTGTCTCAAAAAGTAATACTAAAGATTCTAGGGATGTAGCTCAGTGTGAAGACCCTACGTTCAATCCTCAGCACTACAAAGGAAAAAAAAAAAAGCAAAAGCCTTTGGTGTAACTGTGATTTTCTACTCTTCCAGTTCACTGTCTCTCTGCAACTCTATTCAAAAGTGTCTTTGCTCTCTTTGCCCTGTTGTATTACCTTCTCCCCCAATCCTGCTTCGGTACTAGCCAGTGTGGGGGAGAGGCACATGTTGGTGAGGGGAAGAATGTGTTATCTGAGGGGACATTTTTTCTGTTCGTGTTTCTTATTTTACTGAGTTCTTTTATTTGTGCCCCTGTGTCTTAGATGTGTAAGAAGCCAGCTACGCTCCAGGCCTTTTAATGTCTCTGAAGGAGATTGGGCCTCAACGGACACCAAGGAGAAGGATGGCATGGTTCTGCAACTCTGGCAGAAACCAAACCCTGCTGCACGTGACAGGCCAGGTGAAAGGGCCCAGCATTTGTGGCTGGCACTATAAGTATTTTGTACAGTAAGTAAATGAATGCCTTAAAAAAAAAAAGTGTTCCCAATAAGAGAAGGTTCTGGGAGGTTCAGTGGAAAGGTGCCTTACTGTAATAAATTTCAGGCTCAAACTCACAGTCTTCCTGTTCAAGCCTCCCAGAGGGCTGGGACCACAGGTGTGTGCCGCCACACCTGAGGACCATTTTCAGTACTTTTTGTGATTTCTCAAAAGATTACAACATATATACAGTGAAGACTGGAGATTTGGCTCAGTGGCAAAGTGCCTACAGGGCAAGCTTGAGGTCGTGAGTTCAATCCCTGGCACCAAAATACCAAAAAACCAAAAAAAAAAAAAAAAAAAAATCAAATCCATAGGTACAACATACATAAGGTAAAAAAATGGATATCAAGTCATAAAGAAGACGCAGCTCAATTTTTAATGTTTTCCCCAAAGCATTCCAAGCCACTCTTTACCACTTCTAAATTCTTCACTTAAGAATCTTTGTTTTTTTAGAAAAAGGGGGTCTCTATGCACTCAGGCTGACCCTAAGCTCACTTTGTAGCCCAGCCCAGTTTTGAACTCGAAGTGACGCTCCTGCTTCAGCCCCCTATGTGCTGAGGTTCTAGGCATGTACCACTATGCCCAGCTAATTTAAGAATCTGAATTGTTAATGTGACAGCATGATGATCCATTACTTCTTTTAGGTCACTCTGAAATGCTAAGATCACAAGGAATTTCATTTATAGAACAACACTTGCAGCTGATAGCCAACTTGAGTTTCCAGGCTTAACTAAGACTCAGCAGGGAGCCAGGGTCCTTACTTTGTAAATATCCTGTCCTGTGCTAGAGGAGGGCACAGAGATTTTGTGAGTGCTGCACCCACCCTGGAGGTGGGGATGTGGTGGCCTGCTTACTATCTTATGGGATGAGAGAGGCTTATTCTCCCTGTTTTTGCTCTTGCTGGTTGCTGCTTTGAAGTGTTGCCACTGTGCCAGGCCACCCTGCCTGGGAGCCAGCTCATGGACTAAAACCTCCACAAACAGTGAGATAAATAAACTTTTTCTTTTCTTTTTTCTGTGGTACGGACTTTGTGCTTGCCAGGGCAGGTGCTTATGCTGATGAGTAAATCCTCAGCTTCAATAAACCTTTTCTGCGACCCCAGAGATGTGTCACTGAACATTACCTTTCCCCATCCAAGTGATTTACAGGCTCCTTGATGTTATTTGAAGTTGAAACATCTGTTCCCATTTGTCGCCTTGTAGATTTTAACTGCTCAATTTCTGTTTTAAGTTGTTCACATTGGGAATGAATTTGTGATTTTTCCATTTCCAATAACGTAATCTGACAAAAAATATAAATGGCTTTTATAATTGTAAAATTTCAGAACACATTCGAAGTTCAAATACAAGCTAAGAAATACAGAAAACTAGCTTGATAAAAATTACCAACTATCAAAAAAGCCTATTACACATAATCCAATTGAGTTTTTATAGCACTTTCATTCATTTAACATCATTTTTTATGTCTTTTTACAGTGAGAGAAAATGTTACTGATACCTGACCAAAATTGAGTAGTACCCAGAAATTGAAACACCAACACACCAATGCCCAAGTTTCACTGGTATTATGGTGGCTTTCTTACACGTTCCATATTAACTTGTCATAGTGAAGACAGAGACTTCTGTATACTCTTGTCATCTAGTTCCGGAGCTAAAACACCACGCAGAGTGGTTTAATGCACACTTCTATTAACACCACTCCCAGGCAGAGACAGCACAGCAACATACTGCACGGTTTGCTTTCAAACACCACAAAAAAACCAATGTATGTACCTAGAGTATAGGAGCTTCCAAAATTTGGATGGGGCAAATGTGGCACAAATGATTCATCTGATAGCTACTGTTGTTCCTCTTCCTTCCTCCTTGAAAACCCCTGAACAGCACCTGCATTTTCCAGGCTGGCAGCTGCAAGCCAGGCGCCTCACTTCTGGCAGATGAAGCACGCCGGCTCCAGCAGCCTCCCCTTTGCGTTCCTGCAGTTGGGAACGTGGCTGTAATGCCTGGACTAATGGAGCAGCCACCTCAGACCACAAGTTCAGCCTGAGAAGCGAGGCAACAACGCAGAAGCAGCCTGCATCCCTGGTAGCTGTGGAGCTTCCACGGGCTTTGAGGTACAGGGTTCCTTTCTAACAGGGGCCTTAATCCCTAGCTTGGGGATCAACCATGTACCTCATAGAGTTACTGAAAGGTACACAGTAACGGATGGGAAGTTCTGGCCACACTGTGTAGCTATCTTTTTTTTTTTTTTTTCTTTTTTGGTTTTTATCGGTACCAGGGATCAAACTCACGACTGCCTGCTTGCAAGGCAGGTGCTTATGCCGCTGAGCTAAATCCCCAGGCCCTGTGTAGCTATCTTAAAGGGGATGAATGATGTGGCACTTTACTCCTGTGCAGCACTGCCCTGTGCACTGCCAGGCACTGACCACAACTCCCACTACGGGACAGCACTCCTGAAGACACAGTAAGAACCACAGATGCCCTGCGTATCCATTATTCCCCAGGAGACCCATGACCCAGTTTACAACTAAAGGGTTCACTAGATCCACAGAACTGGCAGCTCTGCAAGGTATGGCAGCCTCGGACACCTGCAACTCACCTCGGTCTTGTATTGGTCCCGCTCAACGATGCACCTGTCCAGCTGTTTAGAGACATGGTCCAGCTGCACAGCCATTTCGTCCATGTCCCTTTTACTCTCGGGATTACAACACTGACTACACTCAGCCTTTACATGTTGCAAAGCACTACACTGTTTTTTCAGCCTTTCTATTTCTTCCAAAGCCTGCTGGTACTGAGAGGCTGTATGGGCTGGACTTTCAGGTTTGCCATTAATACTTTCAAATAAAAATACTGGATCAGTCTCCATAGACTGATGGCAAACTTCCTTCTTGACACATTTGTCGTTCACTGCTAGGATCTTCTCCTGCAATACTTTGATTTGGTCAGTAAGCATGTGACACTGTCTCTTACAGCTGTCCCTCTCTTGGGTGACCAGAAGGAGTTCGTTCCTCAGTACCTGCAACTGACAGCTAGCACTGTCCACAGACTTGTCAACGGTTTCCTGTACGTCCTGCATCTGCGCACCAGCATCCCCGGGGACAGGTAGCATCACTGTGTCATTCCTCGAGTCTATCACATCTTCAACAGTCTCCTCCTTTTTAACCATTAAAGCTGGCGGCTCGGTCTGGGTGGCTGCAGCAGTGCCCTGATCGCACTTCGGGGAGGAGGTGTCTGTGGAACCGCTGTGGTCCTGGAGTTCGGCGTCGTCCACAATCTCAACCTGAAGGCCGCCCTGTTTAATGTGACTCTGTTCCGGCTTGGCTTCTGTGTCCAGGTCTATGGCAGGTTTGGGAGTGCTATTTTCTTCTAAGATGATGACATCTTCATCATCATCATCATTTTTAAAAGAATTTTCAAATGTCTGATTACTCAATCGCCGATTCTTTGCATTCAAAATTGAGGAACGAGGAAGTTTCCGTTTCGGGCTGGAAAAAATGTTATATATAAAATGAGATTACCCAATACAGCTATGATAATGACCTTCAAAATAAATGAGGTCTTTTTAACAAATTTCCTGTTATAACAAATTTTACCATTATTTTGAAATTCTAAGAACTGCCTGGGCCTATGTTTAAAACTATAGAACCTTCAAATCTCTTCAAAGCACTGGGTCCATACAGTGCTATCCATCCGTCTCTTCACGGATGTGCTCAGGTACTTCAAGATATACACCACATGTTGGGTGTATAATACTAATACTCCTAATATTCAGGAGGCTGAGGCAGGAGGATCATTGCGAGACCAGCCTGGGCTACAAAGTGAGCTCAGGCTGAGCTGCATAGTGAGACTCTGTCTCAAAAAGACAAAAGAGAGACAGACAGACAGAGAGAGACAGAGAGAGACAGAGACAGAGAGAGAGAGAGAGACAGAGAGAGAGAGAGACAGAGAGAGAAATATACCGCAGACCCTTCTTGTGAGTACTGAGGGTCAGCAAGGCCATTTTCATTGGCCAACATTCAGCAACCAGAGGTAAGTCATGAAGCAAAGCAATTTTATTCTCTTATCATTTCACAGCAAACAAGCTCCCGTGACCTTTGACTTTGCCTCGTTTGTGCCCTGTAACTCACATAATAGACCCCTCTCTCCTCCCTGTCCGTCAGGCAGGCTCTCCAGGCCCTGCATGCTGGTCCTGCTGGGTCTCGAGGAGGACTCCCCTTTCCTGGCTCCCTCACACTGAGGGGCAGCCCCGGGGGCCTGGCAGAGGAAGTCTATTCCTGTCTCATGTTCACTGTTGGTTTGGCTGCTTCACAGACAGGCAGGCTGGAAATTACTTTCTCACCAGTTTAAATGGACCACTCCATTTTCACCCATTACCAAGTGCTTCTGCCCTTACTGATCGTTAGCAGGTAATCTGTGTTTATCCCTCTTTTGGGTGAGACAAAAAAACACCTTTTCCCTCATGATCTACATGTCAGGGTGACACACCTTGGAAATCAGTCCTTTTCCAGGCACTGCGCCCTACACCTAGTGTCCCCTCCTCCCCTCCGTACCCCTTTCTCTGTGTCCCCACACTAAGACTCCCTTAGATTCAGATGCAGGCCTCCTGTGCCAATACCTTGTCTTTTCTCTACCTCCTTTTTATCCTTTTGCTGTAAGAGATTTATTTATTCAACACTGACCCTGTTTCTCCTCCTTTTCATACTTTTTCTTCTCCTTTTGTCCTAGTGACGATCACACATGTGGCAGTCCTTGGGTCCCTATGGAACTGACCAAAGCACTGAGGGACCAAACCGGCCCAAACCGTCACCGCCTGCAGCTTTCCCTGGAAACGGTGGTATAGGCAGGAAGAAGGGCTGACTGCCTGCCATTAGTATTCCAGCTTTCCTTCATGTCCACACAGCTCACACATACTTCATCAGCTCTAAAACTGCTCCAAAAGTAAACCTCCTTATGTTTTTTTTCATTGTGAAACAGAATCATTTCTCTACGTCACACTCTTGAGTAATACTTTGAAGATAATGATACTTAGTCTATTAACTGCTATTTTCTTAGTTTGTTATGAAACATTTTTAGAGTAAAAAAAAATCTATAAGAGAAGAAAGACAATTTCCAATCTTCTGACAGAGAGAGAGAAGCAGCAGTCGCCCAACTCTGCAGGATGAGGAGGGATCAAAAGCCCCTGCTGCCTCAACTTCCAAGCGAGCCCCTCCCCCTGCCCTGCCTCCCCTCAGCAACACCCAGTGCTTTCAGTCTGAGACATAAACCGGTCCGCTTCCCAGGGCTACAGCCTTCTCCAGCAAGCCTGGGGTGCAGCTTCCTCTGGTCTGTATCAGGCAGGCCTTGTTCATCCACTCTGCCCTGGCTGACTGCAAGTCATCTTCCCATTCTTCCTACCACAGTAATTCCTGTCTTTCCTAAGATTCAGTTTAGGCACCACCTTTCCACAGTCCATTGGCTTTATGAACTTAAGAATTAAATACAGACTTTAAACCTTCTCTTCTTCCATTTTGATGGCAGCCAACTTCTAAAATAAATTCTTATTTTGTGTCTGTAAGCTACAGAATCATCTTTAGCTAGACAATCTACGAGAAGACTTCCAAGAAGGTGATGGAGTGTAAGCAGCAGAGAAAGCCTCTGAGACTTGCTGTGTAGACACTGGAATACAGCAATACGAGGAAGAGAAGGAAGTGGGTTTCCTGGACCCAGGAAGGAGCTGAAATAAGAACTGAAGCTCAGGGGAGAGCAAATAGAGACTTCAACAAGAAGGTGGTGGTAGGTGGTGCCTTCTTGCTGAGTGAAGACTCGCTGCATGGGAGGAGCAGTTCAAACCTGGGGACACACGGTGACTGCTGGTGACCCCAGAGGCCTCCACAGAGGAGTGGATGCCATGCACTGCACTGGCTGGTGAGTGGACCGGATATGGCCATCCATCAGGAGAGGGTGACTGGCTGGGAGCCATCTTGTAGTGTGGCAACTAAGCACTGCAGGTTGCATCCAGCGGCTCCCAGCTTGAGCTAAAGCCTGCCTAAGTTGTGTTAACTGTTGCAGGCTGCATGAGTCTGATACCAGCCTCATGGCCAGAAACCAGCCTGAACGCAAGGGGAAACAGAAGTGCAGGCTTGCTGAGATCATCCACTACCTCTCCATAAAGCTACTGCTGGCTTGCTGGGATAAATCAACAAGGATTTGGACTCTTTTCACAAGTGGTCCACCAGTGACAGCAGCGACAAACCTGGAAGCAGACTTTCTTTCCCTCCCCCCACGCTGTCTCCCTGTCTCTCTCCCACACCTTTTTTCTCTTCATTGTTTTTGTTTTTATATTAGTTTGAACATGGTTTCTCTTTTTTTTTTTTTTTTTTTTTTTTGTGGTTGTTGTTCTGTCTTTTATTTCTTGCTTGTCTTCCCACACCAGTTTCCTAAAATTTGGGTGATCCTCCTTTGTCATTTTCTAAGCTGTATTTGATGCTCATCTCTAATATTATGTTTCTCATCCCCAATAAATTGAAGATTTAGGGTCTTATGACAGACTCAAAACTCAAAAGCCAGCTCCACACGTAGAAGACACCTCTGAGAAGTAGTCATTTCCTAAGTGTTCTAAATACTAGCAATAAAGCTACATACCACAGGCAATTGCAAACATCAGTCCAGGAATTAAAACTAAAAAATAGGAAACCCAAGAATACTAGAGACCAGTACAAAATAAACCACACAAATCATTAATTAAGTAGCAATGAGTGTGGTGGTACACACCTGTAATCCTAGCACTTGGGAGGCTAAGGCAGGCAGATTGTGCTTTGAGGCCAGCCTGGGCTACACACTCCAGGTCAGCCTGAATTACTTAGTGAGATCCTATCTCCAAAAAAAGAAAAACAAATTTTTAAGAAGCAGTCTAGCTCCAAAATGAGTTCCTAAAGCCAAGTTCTAAAGAACAGACATTACCATGTGCCCTCCTTGACTCAGACATGCACTGAAGCAGTTAGTTGCTCCTAGCCTTCCTGGAGGTCAAAAAAAGAATCTGAAAGACGTGACAGCTCTCAGGAAGTCTGGCCCCTCGTGTGAGAAGCTTCTGTGAAGGAAGTGTTTCATTGTGCAGCAAGCCTGGTCTCTGAGGGCCCAGACACCATGCCCTCTTGATGCTGCAGCCTGTGAGAGAGGCGCCTTCACTGGGCACTGCTTTCTCCATGGCAGGAACCAAGCCAAAGGCCACTTTGCCACACTCCCTGGCCACGTGGGTCACAAAGGTGGACTCCACCACCCATGTATCACCTGTGCATTTTTTTCCCCTACTCCACTCTCTCATTCAAATATGGTGGGTGCCCACGGTGCTCCAGGCTTATGCTAAGAACTTCTGGGTCACAGCTTACATTACTATTGCACAATTAAATGCCTCATGTTTTTCTTTACTTAGTTATTGGTTATTTTTCAGTTACTCAATCTTTTTGAGACAAGGTCTTGCTATATAGTGCAGGCTGGCCTTGAACTCTTTTTGGAACTCAGGCTGGCCCCGGACTCAAGATGATCCACTTGCCTCCACCTCCCAGTGCTGGGATTACAGGCCTGTGCCACCATACCTGGCTGGTCATTTTAAAAGCACTAAGTTCATACTCTAAAGAAGCTCAAAGAGGTTATAGTTTGATCAAACCCCACACTGAATACAATTAAGTTTTTTTCTCCTCACTCCTTTTTTGGAATCCACGCTGGCTTTGAACTCCTGGATTTGGTGCCCCTCCCAAGTGGCTGATGTTATACTTACTAGTGCACACCACCATGCCTGGTAACAATTAGTATTTTTAACTAAATTTAGGTAGGTAGCGGGCCCACAGTGGGGGAAAGTTTATACAATAAAGCAATCTTTTTACATTCATGTAAACTGTGATTTCCTAAGCTGTGTTACTGTCCTAGAACTGTCACATAAAGGCCCCGATGGAAAAGCACATCTGTGTCACTAACCCATTGTTCTCAGGGTCGGACTGGGGTGAAACGCGATGATTGTTCAGAATTCTTGTAGGGTAAGAATTCGCGACTTCTGGAAAGTGTGCTCTTGGAACACTTTCTTTTGCAGGAGAAAAACTCTGACGGGGCACAGAAGTTGTCCTGTGCAACAGCTCAGCGTTAATCTGTCAGACAGGAAAGCAGATGTTAAAGGTGTCATTTAAACCTGAGGTCCCCCAAACCCACAATACAGTCTTCTTTTTTCCCTTATCCTGGAAGACATGACAACAACCCTGAACACATAACTCCCTCGAGCTAACCAGGATCAGCTAACAGAGCCTCAAGCCAAACCCAGCCAGCAAGTGAACTCAGAACATGTGACATTTTGAAGGGGCTGCATGTGGCCCAGAAAGCCAAAGAAGCTTTCCTATGTGCTCTGTGATGAGCCTACACTACAGGGCCTAGCAAGACACAGAGAAGATACACTTTCTGGAGAGAGAGAGAGATATGTGAAGTCCCCAGATCTGTTCTCACCCTCGAACCCTCCCACACTCCACAGCAGGCTGTAATTCCTCTCGTAAGAAATTCAGCCTCAAAAAAAAAAAAAGAAAGAAAGAAAAGAAAAAAAAGAAATTCAGCCTCCTCCTTACATTCACACACTCAGCCAAAGCTTCCTGACACCACTAACCACGAGCCAATGGTAAGGCCAAGCCGAGTAGTCACCAAAAGGGAAGAAAGACCCTGGCTCTGAACAGGTCAGCACCAGAACAGGACTCCTGTGGCACTTTCCGTAACTGCGGAATAACAAGAGCCCTGAAGGAGTGCTTGTTTGCCCTTCCTCAGACAATGCCCAACAAACAGTGCAATGAACACAGGGTGTGAGGCTGCGGGGTTAGAAGTTAGGGCTAGAAAAGAGTAAAGAGTGATACAAACACAGAGAATGTGAGCTAAATTAACAAGATCCCTTCCATCAGTTACATAAGCCCTCAACTTTAAAATGGATCAAACTAAGTACACCAAGCGTAAGACACAGGCATACAATGGAAAGTTTACTGACCTGAGGGATCATTTCCAGCTGTCTGATCCTGAATTTTTCCCTGTGGCTTAAAAGAAAGGTGAGAAGTGAACATTTTACATTTGCCTCATTGTTACATTAAGTCTTATTTTCCAATGACATACTTACTTCACTACTGAATTACGCTAACATGTATGCAGAATTCGACTTCAATGTCATCACAACTAGTGGCAAGGCCTTGGACAAGGGATATCTTCTACCTTAACAAAATCTCCCAACACCTTCATGTCTTCCTGCAGCTTTTGATCTCCCCAGGCCCTTGATCCCTAGAGGATCACACGGACTTACTCTCCAATACCGCCACTAAACATAATTATGGAATAGTGCTCTACATGGCAGAACCAACTGGACAGTTCTCAGTGAATCTGGACTCCTACATCCAGCACACCAGGCTATGGTGGCCCGCGTCACCTCCCCAGCTCCCATTACTCTCATTCACATATCTACTTGTACAGCAGAATCAATCATTGTTCCCTGTGCATTCATCTTCCCTATCCTGCCACTCACAGACTACAAAATCACCTGCAAGAAGTTTCCTGATCCATCTCGGCCCTCCTCTCCCTTGCCAGAAACAATCTTGCCTCCTTAGCTCCCCTAGGCTTAGTGACTCTATCTCTACAACTTTTAATTAATAATGCACATACCTTATCTGTTAAGTCTGGACGCTCCTAAGGGGAATATTCACTACAGTTCCTGTCCATGGCTCCACAAAAATCAACTGTCTACAATCTTAGTGTCTTAGACAGGATTACCATAAACATCCAGTGCTCACACAGCAGGTAACTGACTTAAGAAACTGTTTTAGGTACTCTGTATCACAATCTCTATAAATGTACACTAGCACACAAGCTGAACGGAGGAAAAGTTGTATTACTATAATTTAAGTAATTTTAATTACTTGTGTGCTAGTGTACATTTATGGAGAAGCATCAATCCTAAAGCTGAGACATTACTGTTCTGGATGTGGGCATTCTCTTCTCACCACATGATAGTGAACACTCACTTCTTTTTGTAGGTTTTCTCATATGTGGGATGTACCAAGTCTTCATCTTCAGGTTCTTCGGGAACATCACAATTTCTAGACAGAAAGAGCACATGGCAATAACACATTACCAGCGCCTATTCTGATGTCCTGAATAGTACATTCTGCCTCTCCAAAAAGGGTACTACCAGCCATAGCTATATGGTACCTGAACTGTGGGTCAGGGTTATTGGAGCAATACCATTTTTCTGGAAGTTGATCTATCCCATCTGGTAATTTTCGCCACTTTAGACAGGAATCACACTGAACCCATGTCTGGTCGGGTCGTTTCCTATTAGGCAAGAGCAAAATATTATCACGGATAACATGAAGCTAAATTCATCAGATTTTCTGCATCATTCCCACCAGAGAATGCCTGTCCATTTAATTCATGTCCTGAATATTCTGGAACATGACTATTTTTGTTATTTGTTAATTTAAACTTAAGAATAACCATTTTGGCTACCTTCAAATGGTTAAAGGTCACAGGTCAATTTGAACAAAGCAATTCAAATGTCTTGTTAAATAGCACATTAAATTTTTCTAGATTGATCACAAATAAAAAAATACAAATACCTTGCTCTACAGGCACTCTAAGTTCCTGCAAAGTTAAATCTACAGTATATTCATAAGCACAATAAGAATGGAGGAAAAGCTGTATTACTATAATTTAAGTAATTTTAATTTAATGATAATATTTTTCCTATTATAACGTAATTCTAAATAGCCAAAATTTCTACCTTCTAAACTTGACATGTAATATTTGTTCTTTTTAAAAAATTGGTCTAGAAGCTGAACATGGTGGCATACATCTGTAACTCAGCACTTAGGAAGCTCTGTAACTCAGCACTTAGGAAACTGAGGCAGGACTGCAAAGAGGCCAGCCTGGGATCCATAGAGTTCAAGGCATGCCTGAACTACGTAGCAAGACCCTGTCTCAAAAAAAACCAAAAGAAAAAATTGGGCTGGGCGTGGTAGCACACACCTATAGTCCCAGCCCTCAAGAGGCTAAACCACAAGATCAAGGCCTGCCTGAACCATACATGAGACCTTACCACTAAAAACCACACTAGCCCTAAGGTTTGATCCCAAGCACCAAAAGGCATAAAAATGCATTTATACATTTATATATAACTTTAAAAATAACCTAGAAGATTATAAAGTTAAAAAGTACTTTTTCAAGAGATTATCATTATCAATTTTTGAATCCTGGGAATTTCCCATGCTTTTATTCTTTTGTTTGTCTGTTTTTGTCTTTTTGAGACAGGGTCTCACTCTTAGTCTAGGCTGGCCTACTCACCATGTAGCTAGCCTGGGTTGACCTGAACCAGCGCTCCTCCTGCCTCAGGCAGAGTGCTGAAACCAAGTTACGTGCCACCACACCTGGCCTCCCATGTTTTAAAAGTATAGGTATGCAGAGAGATCCTCAGTAGAAGGGGAGGAGGCTGTATAGTGACACACGCTTCCTAGTTGACAGTGTATCTCAGCTGTCCTGCCCTAAGTCTGTGCAGACACCACCCGTTACTCCCAAATGGATGACTGCTCCTGTGTGTTTCTGAAAGTACTTACTGTATATCTTCAACTGGCAAACTTAGAGGATATTCTGAATTCTTCTTTACTTTCATTTCATTCCAGTAATCATTCAGTTTTTCTCCTAGTGCTGTAATTGTAAGCCTTTAATAAAAAGTAAAATACAAAATTGATTCTAGGAAAAATATAATACAGGCATAATTTTTTCTAACACTGAGAAAACAATTTGTTTTTCAGGCAGGGAACTGAACTCTAGGCTCTGCTCATGAGGCAAGTGCTAGACTACTCAGCCACATCACCAGCCCCCACACCAGTGCTGCAATGGCAGCCTGAACATCCTATACACAGCAATTCGGATGTTTTTACTGCCGACTTTCTACAGGGGCTGTAAGTAAATTCCTAGAATACAGACAAGCTCCAGGTCTGTGGCAAGGAGCATATCAAGCATTCATGAGACCCTAGGTTTGACCTCTAATACACCACTGAACAAACCTATAATTCAGGGGCTGGGGATTTAGCTCAGCAGCATAAGCACCTGCCTTGCAAGCAGGCAGTTGTGAGTTCGATCACCAGTACTGATTAAAAAAAACATAATTCAATGTAAACAAACAAAATAGCACCCTGGTCCTCTGTTTTTTTTTTTTTTTTTTAATTTTATTTAAAAGGAAAAAGAGAAAAACACAAAACAAAACAAAGCGGTGTAAGGGTACACGTAATACAGAACTACCAAAAAAAAAAAAAAAAAAAACAGTAAGAAATCACCTGTTAATAGATTACATATTATCATCTTATAAATAGTTGCTCAAATCACAGTATCAAAGAATACAAAGTGGACATTCAAACAGTGAGACTGCAAACAGCTGTGTTCAATGATCCAAAAACATTAATATAGTCAGCTTTTTTTTTTTTATTTAAAAGGAAAAAGAGAAAAACACAAAACAAAACAAAGCTATGTAAGGGTACACGTAATACAGAACTACAAAAAAAAAAAAAACAGTAAGAAATCACCTGTTAATAGATTATATATTATCATCTTAGAAATAGTTGCTCAAATCACAGTATCAAAGAATACAAAGTGGACATTCAAACAGTGAGACTGCAAACAGCTGGGTCCTCTGTTAAAAAAGCATATTGTAGGGCCAGAGATTTTGCTCAGTGGCACAAGCAGTTGCCTGGCAAGTGTAAGATCCTAAGTTCAATCCCCAGTTTCAAAAAAATAAAAGAAGAAAACAGATTGTGGACTCATTACTGGGAGAGCCAGAAGCCCCTATCGTGTCACACATGGTTGGAAATACTTTGGCTCACTTCTATTGATTTTTGTAATTTTATGTTGCATTTTATAAAGTTCCATAACTCCATGATGAAACTTCAAGAAATAGAAAATGTATTTTAACCATCTTCTTCTATTCTTGGAATAGAGACCTATTCCATCAAAAGTACAGAGTATATTCTACTCTGTCTTTACTAATGAGAGATACTTCTGAGCATCACAGAAAATAATTTGATAAATTAAAAATGGTGAGCTAGGTGTGGTAATGCACTCTTGTAATCCTAGCATTAGGGAGGCTGAGGCAGGAGGAGTCGAAAGTTTGAGACCAATCTGGGCTATCAAGTAAGCTTAAGGCCAGCCTGACCTACACGTGAGAGCCTGTCTCAATAAGCCAAAAATAAAAATGGCAGAGTGAAGGTCAGCAACAAAATAGATTCCGAGGCTGGAGTCTAAATACCAGGAAAACAACTTAGCGAAAGGGTGAAAAAAAAAGTAGAGCCCTGGGAATCAAGACAGAGCTGACAGGAAAATTGGAAACCACAAGAAACTGTAGATGATGCAGAGCAAAGAACAAAGTGATCAGCACAGCAACCCCAGTTCTGGAGGAGGTGCTGTCCTGCCACGCACAAGCGCCACCTCCTTTTCTCAGTGCAGCTGGGACCAAGCTCCAGAAGACGGCTAGACGCCAGGGCACCCCCAAAACATTATGCTCCATAGGCTGGGGGTGACAGGAGGAGGGGACACAAAACGTAACTATAGGGACTGTCAATCAGGACAGTATCCCCCCCCGACTCACCTTCAGCCCACAGTGCAAATCACTGATAAAGCCAGCAACAAGAGGCCACCCAGGCCCTTAAACCCTGAGAGCTGACCTCATGGACACTGAAGTAGAGAACCCCAAGCAAAGGGTTCAAAAACCATTTTAATCTGCGCACATGATAACTAATTTTATAAAGTCTTATAAGATAAATAAGTGAAGGTAGAGACAAAGGGGAAAAATAGAACTGCAGTACATTACGGACAGGTATCAATTGCCTATAATGAATGTGTTGATTAGGTACTGCAAAAATGTACCATAAAAGTGTTTTTTAAAAATCAAGGAAGTACCGAGGATTTAGCTTAATGGCATAAGTGCCTGCCTGGCAAGCACATGGTGATGAGTTTGAGTTAAGCCTGAATATACAGAACTCTAGATCCTGTATAAAAAAAAAATCCTCAAGACCATACCCATTGCTTTTCCATAATTATTTTACATTCCTGCGATTACTAATGGAAAGCCTTGGTAAGTAGGGTGGGTTTATCAATGCTTTCAGTTCAGCTTGTGAGGTAATAAATACATTTTTGGAAAGAAAATACATTTTTGAGTATGGCTATTGGTACATACAGAACATTTTACTTGTATTTGAACGTTTGTGTATTTCACAATATCTTGTAGTATTTTGCCTGTTACATTGAGTGTTATTTGCTGGCATTCATTCCGATAGGTTTTACTGCTGCCAAGATCCTCACTGTATTTTTGGACCTAATTCTAACAGTGAATCATTTCATGTGGTTGTGTGACCATTTTGTACCATTGCTACTGGTCAAATATGTAGCCCAGGTTGGCCTCAAATCTGTGACAATTCTCCTGCCTCAGACTCCCTAGTACTGGGATTAGAGGCGTGTACCACCATGACCAACTGTGGGTGGAGGTTTATAGACTAACCATGACACTGAGATTTGGTTTCCTTCAAAATTTCCTGAGGTTTGATAACAAAACCACTTGCCAAGAAAGAAAAAGAATAACTTGGCTGCTATCTGTTCATGGCTTGAGAGATCTGTGGGAAATTTACCAACAACTTACATTCTAAATGCATACAGGACTACTGATGAACATCATGCAACATTTCATGGCCGCTGCAGCTAGGTAGTATATTCCCCCCAAAACCTTCAAACTACATCGAAAATTTATACCTTGTAGATGAGAAGACTTATGCTTTCAATTTGGAAATTTATCCTGCAACTCAGCCACCAGGTCCTTATTCATATAGTAATAGACCAAATGATGTTATGAACAGACTTATTGCTCCCATCTCCCAAACTAATCAGAATGTGACATGAAACAACCAGTTTACCAGCTTCCAATTAATGTTACATTTGCTAACAGAGAGCATAGATTCACCAGTACAGGAACTGTGCAGAGAATCAAAGCAGAAATTCTAAACAAAATGTTGCAATTTCGAAAAAGAATTGTATAATTCTTTGTATATCAGAACACTGGCCTTATATATGGCAAAGAAAAACAAAGTGGTACTGCTGATGTCAACAGTATCCTATGGTGGAGATATTGATAGGAAAATCTCAACAGAGCAGAAGCCTGAGACACAGACTTTCTACACTAAAACCAAAGGTGGAAGAGCTGTTGATGAGTTACACAGTAACTATAATGTCACTCCAAACAAAATGTTGGCCAATGGCTGTGTTTAACTCAATGCTAAATGTGTGGCATAAATAGTTTGATAGTGTACAAAGAAAATAACAAGCGCAAAGTATCACAGAGAAATTTTCTTAGAGGACTAGGATTGAACCTCATAAGAAATCACTTAGGAGGCTGGTCCGATGGCAGTGGGTTATCAGAACTTATTAACATTAGTGTCACTAAAGTTGGTATACCACCCCCCCACTGCTAAATTTGACTGGCTTTAAAAAAAAAAAAAAGAAATCACTTAGGCAAATAGAGAAACAGTATGTTTCTGCCCAGGGAACGTTGCGAACGTGGAGTGATGAGCTGACAGGTGAACAGCCAGGCACAGCATCACAAAGACTTACTACGACAATCGGAAAACAAAAAAGATGTCAACTGTGCCCAACAGGAAAGGACATGAAGACAAACCACACATGCAATCAGTGTGACACTTGGGTATGAAACACACAGTTTTGTGGGTGAAGACAAATGAAGCAAAGGTTATTTCTGTAGTGAACTTTTATTTATATTTACATTCTGATTGAGAAAAGTTTTTATTTCCAATGTTACCTTTTAGGTTTTGTAAGCAAGTAAACAGCAGATGTGAAAATGTTGAGGTATAGTCTAAGTACTCACTATCTATTCGATATTTTATTTGTTATCTTATTTTCCTGCTAAGTAAACACTGTGTAACATAGTAGGGAGCTAGTGGCAAAACAAGAAGACAAAGAGGTGATAAAGAAAGGCCTGCCACATAGGAAAGATAAGCACACGCACTGTGATTTTACATGAGAGATGTACACACAGCATGCAGCCGTCATGTGTGAAGACCGTCATGTGTGACGACTGTCTTGGGTGTCATAGTTGAAACAGCTTATTTTTTATTGTTCAGTTCCATTGGTACTTTCATTGTTGTTCATACAGGAATTTATTTGTATTGTTATTTTTTTTTCTTTTTTGTCTTTTTCATTTTTATCCGTACCAGGGATCGAACTCACGACTGCCTGCTTGCAAGGCAGGCGCTTATGCCTGCTGAGCTAAATCCCCAGCCCCTCTATTGTTATTTTTCAGACTTTGTACCCCAAAGGTTGAGGTTGAAAATTTCAATGCTTTTTTTATAAACACAGTAAGTATTAAAATTTCAAATATTTTAGTTTTATAAATTGTTTTCATGTTGAGTATACCTTGTTTAATAAAACTTAAAATTAACTCATCAACAGATAATATTCTAAAGAATAAACATGGCTATTATACACCCTCAATAATGTGCCTTTATGACAAAATTAGGATTATGCCCTGTTGGCTATATAAATACCTAAGAATCGAAAGAATCCCTTGTATACTTTAGAATTGCAGTCAAATGAAGCTAGAATTCAACAGCAGAAGAAGCACAGAAACTACAGAAACACACAGAATTAAAGAATGTTGGGGCTGGGGATTTAGCTCAGCAGCATAAGCGCCAGCCTTGCAAGCAGGCAGTTGTGAGTTCGATCCCTGATACCGATAAAAACGAAAAAGACAAAAAAAAAAAAAAAAAAAAAAAAAAAAGAATGCATTCCTGAATAGCTAATGGATCAGAAGAAAGCAGAGAAAATAACTTCCTGCTGGGTGTGGGTGACCCACCTGCAATCCCAACACTCAGAATGCTGAAGGATTGCTGCATGTGTGAGACCAGCCAGCCTGGGCTACACACCGAGTTCGCTGCCAGCCTGAACTCCATGGTGAGCCTCTGTCTCAAAAACACAATGCAACACAACAAAACAAAACAAAACAAAACAAAAAAGTTCCTAGCATGAAAGGCCAACGGAAGCATAACTTACCAAAATCCATAACGGTAAATGCACACATAAAAAGAACAGGAAGACTCTGAACCAGTAACCTAAAGATGCATCTCAAGGTCGTAGAAAGATAAGAACAATCCAAATCTAAAACTAATAGAGGGCAGGACAATACAATTATCAGAGCAAAAACTGATAAAACTAGAAAATACAGGTCAGTGAACCAAAGTTAGTTCTGGGAAAGTAGGGGAAGGAAGGCAGGGAGGACAGTAGACAAGGGAGTACAAGGGAAGTCAGAAGGGCCAAGGTGTGGCTGTGTGCGCACCTTGTGTGAATGTACCTAGTAGGCATTTTAAACATGTACTAATCAAAAACTGAGACAAAGAGCCGGGCATCATGGCTCATGCCTGTAATCCCAGCAGTCGGGAGGCTAAGGTGGGAGGATCCTTGCGAATTCGAGACCAGCCTGGGCTACAAAGTGAGCTCAAAGCCAGCCTGAACTGCATAGTGAGACCTCGTCCCAAAACAGTAAAAAAAAAAAAAAAAACTGAGAAAAAACAAAAGCAAAGCAAGAGAAGAAAATAATACAAAATATACAATTTTAAAAAACAAAACAAAAACAGGTGGTGTGGTGGTACACACCTCTAATCCTAGACTTGGGAAGCTGAAGCAGGAGTATTCCCATGAGCTCAACAAGGCCAGCCTGGGCTACTTAGTTAGTTCGAGCCCAGCTGAACTACATAGCAAGACCCTGCCTAAAAAAAAAAAAAAAACTGTGCAAATCATTATTTTATTAATCCATTCCCTATGACTTAACAATTTAAAATAGGTAGCATACCTGTACTCATTAGTGTAGTCGAAATCTTGCTTATTATGAGTTGGCTTCAGGAAATTACACTCTATAATTCCAACTACTCCAACACCCATGTTATTTGCCTGAAATAACATGAAATCGTCACTTTAGACATATCATGCTCAAAACACTCTTAAACAGAGATTTATAACTTGTAGAAAATATTTTCCTATACTTATCACAAACAAGTCTCATAAAATTTAGACTGGAAACAAAACATTTTCTGGAAGTTATTTGGGGAGGAGGCACTTTTAATGCCTAAACAGGTTTTCTCTAAAACCATTCCCAATACTTATAACAATCTACTTGGACAAAAACAGTATTATCAAGCCATCTTCACATTTGTCCAACAGAAAAAGGTCAACTTCTACTAGGCTGCAATTCCTTATAGAGCAGGACCCACAAAGGCCTCATCTCAATACTGCAGCGCCCCACAAAGATGTGGCAAGTTAACATTCTGATAGTTTCCCAGATAAAAGTTACCAGCCTATAGTCCAGCAGGAAGATGACTTGTAAAGAGTCCAGGAGTTCAAGGCCAGCCTGGGAAACATAGCAAAACACCACCTCCAAAAACAAAAGGCTCTTAAGGCTATTCACCTGGCTTCACACCCAGTTGCTAATGAGGAAGGACCAGAACCTGGGTCAACTGAATCTGTTAGTTTTTTTTAAACCTTGATAACTAAAACACTGAGCTCAAGTCATGAGTCATATTGTGGATATTTACATGAGATTAACAAGTGTATTCTGTAAAGAATTATCGCTTATTTCTGAGTCAATATTCAAAGAGAAAAAGATGAAAGCATGTGTATTATGTACAAAAGGAGCATTTTCATAAACTACAGACCAAATCACTCAAATCAAGACACAGCCCTGTTGGACTGCGTCTCGCAGCCATCTATAACCCAAGTGACACCAAGGCCACTCCCTTTTGCAGTTTCTGTCCTCCCCAACCTCATCCTCCATCTCTCCCCATTCCTATGGCCCTTAGTCACAAGACCCCCCCAGCCATAGCCAGCGTGCTCCTCCACACTGTCATCTGTCAGAAGTCACCTCTGCCTGGAAAGCCCTTCTTGGACAGAGTCAGGCAGTGACATCAACAGTCACCAGTGTCTCCAAGACTTTCCTGACACACAGTGGACTTTCCACAGGACCCTCACCAACTGTGCTGTGGCGAATGCTCTGTAGCTTATCTTTATATGCTGAGCACATAGCATGGTATTTCATACTGAGTACCTGCCATCTATTTAATGTGTTTACTGAACCCACAGAATACAATGTATTTGGCCTATTCCATCTTTGGGTAAGACAAATATAATAAGTTGCTCTAACAGTCTATTTTTATTGCTGGGCATGGTGGTACACACCTGTAATCCTAGTACTCAGGAGGCTAAGGCAGGAGGACTCCCAGGAGTTTGAGGCTAGCTTGGGCTAGAATATGAGTCCAGGATAGCCTGAACTGCATAACAGAACCCTGCCTCAAAAAAAAAAAAAAAAGCCTATTTTCATAGTCACCCTCACCCAGAAACTATATACGAATTAAATGGATTGAAAAAAGGACTTTGTATCCTACCTAGTTAAGTCAAATTCATCAGTGACAAAAGGAATTTACACATACATATGTGGGAAACATATACTAGCAAAACTCCACTATCAAAAATGCATTTCTACTTACTACTAAAAGTTGATTAACACTACATTATAGAATACTTCTGGCAAAAAGTTGAGTATCTCAATTATAACCACAAAATTTAAATTTTAAATAAGTTGCTGGTATCTCATATAACTACCAGGTGTCTTTTTTGGGTACTGAGAATCAAACTCAGGACCTTGCACTTGCCAGGTAAGCACCACTGAGCTAGACAGATCCCCAGCCTAACTGCTAGATTATTTTTTATTTACTTCCTGACTAAAATCAGTTGCTGCCAGTAACAGCCTAACAAAGTTTTTCTACTTCTCAAAAATGCAACTAATTACTCTGGGCTTTTATCAGGTAAAATAAGTGAAGCAAAGCTACAACCTGTGTTGGATTATATTCAAGATGAATTCACACTACTATACCAACAGAGCTCAGACTTTTCTAGAAAGAACTGAGGATGAAGTGAGGTGAACAGAAAATAAACTGCAGAGAGATAGAAAACACCACACTCGATGTGGTTTGTGCACAGATGTCCCCAAAAAGCCTCGAGTGCTTGCCTGTGGGACTGCCGGGTACAGTTAAAGTGTGTGGCTCTGGGATTAAGGGTAGGTGTGCATGGCACCAATCGGAAAGGCTTAGGGTCTGACGGATACAAGGGGACAGAAAGAAGGCAGACTTCCTGCTGCTGCTTGAGCTCTGCTGCCACTGCCTGTCATACTATGAACTGTTTTTTGCAATGCTCCCTGTAATGCTGCCCTGTTTTGGAGTCAGCTGACTGTGGACTGAAACCTCAAACTGTGAGCCAAAATAATTCTTTCCTCCTTTAACTTGTGGGTGTCAGGTATTTGTCCCAGCAACAAGAAAAGTAACCAAGACACTCTTGTCTTAAAACTTATTACCACTGGGGCTGGGGATTTAGCTCAGCGGCAAAAGCGCCTGCCTTGCAAGCAGGCAGTCGTGAGTTCAATCCCCGGTACCGATAAAAAGCAAAAAGACAAAAAAAAAAAAAAACTTATTACCACTGAAGTCAAGTGTGGTGGCACATGCCTGTAATTCCAGTACTTGAAAGGCTGAGGCAGAAGCGCCCCAAGTGTGAGGCCAGCCTGAACTACACAGTGACATCTTGTCTCAAAACACCAAAGAAATATAAATAAATCTTACTAACAAAATTAACTTTCAGGATTATCACTGAATTCTCAGAAAATGCACACACACCATGAGAACCTCTCCAACAGTATACGTGGGACTGGCAGGCTGACCCGGGGTTGGAGTCATCCCCCTAAAGAAAATGCCACAGAACAGCACAAGCTGCCAGGAGAATCAGTGCAACAGATTTATGTGTCCAGAAAACACATAACCCGCCTGTCACCATTTTCCAGGCTGATTCGGTCAGCACTAATGAAGGGCAACCGATTTCATCCCAGGAAACAGTCTGTGCACCCCATCCAAGCGCAGTCCCAGAGGCACATGGCTGGCTGAGATCTTGCACAGCTGCAGAGCCCATGTATCAGCCCCAAGTTCCTTCATACAGAGCATAAACAAATATTTTATCTCCCCTTCTAAGACTGTTCAAAATTCAGTAAGAAATGAATACAAAGTTCAATGCCATACTAAGGTTAGAGCTGACATCCACAGGTCATTGGGGTAAGAACATTACAAAACTATTTTACCCTTGATCCAACTTTGTTAAACTTTTTAACTTTGTTAAAAGTACACACTTTCTAAAAGAGCGGGGGCAGGATTTTCTTTTCAAATATAAAAACTTACCCTTAGCTGACATCCAACTTTTTCGTAAGCTTTGATGAGTCTATTTCTGTGATACATCATTATCCCATAATGATCTTTATTTCTGCAGTTGAATCCAAAAGTAATTCTCACTGTTTTAGTCTTAAAATGTTAAAGAAAATTCTAAACACAAGACCTCAGTCTATCCCAATTTTATGTGTTTTCTTTTTGTGGAGAGAGGGCAAGATGTCGCTATGTAGCCCAGGCTGCCCTTGAACTCACTATGTAGCCCAGGTTAGCCTTGAAATCATGGCAGTCCTCCTGCCTCAGCCTCCAGCGTACTGAGATTCTCCATTTCATTACTAATAAATTCTAAAGTACCTAAAGAAGGGCAAAGCTGAGTAGGATTAGAATCCCTATCAGAATAAAATGGGAAAGGGGCTTGATGGACAAATGTCTGTACAGCATCAAAAGGATACTAAAAATTTAGGTCGATAAACATCACGTTCAATGTAGGCAAGACTCTTCGATACTAGCTGTGTCTTCACTTTCTGTCCACGCAAGATGATCTGCATCCTTGGCTTTAGGTATAATATACTGCAATAAGCCTGCAAAGAAACACAGCATTATCTACAGATTTGCTTGGTATTAAACAGATGTGCCTTTAAATAAAAAGCTAGCGCCTTGTCTTTATAATACACACGCTAATTTTTCAATAAAACAATATATAGAAAGGGTTAAGGCTACGTTTAACTTTAACTGAGCAGGTGTAACACCTGGCTCTATCTCCAACACGTGGGAGGAGGGATACACATACATACATACTTACTTACACACACACACACACACACACACACATAGAAAGACAGAGGGCCAGGGATATAGCTTAGCAGTGCACCAAGTATGAGGCCCTGAGTTCAAGACCTGGAACCAAAAAAGAAAAAATTAAAGATTGTCCCCACAAAAAAGAGAGACAAATATGGGCTGGGGATTTAGCTCAATGGCATAAGCGCCTGCCTTGCAGGCACGCAGTCGTGAATTCAATCCCTGGTATCGATTAAAAAAAAAAAAAAAAAAAAGAGACAAATACATATTGCACAGCTGTACTGGTTATATACTTGAAAGTATATAAACTAGGGGTTGAACTCAGGGCCTTTATACTGAACTACATCCCTAGTCCAGTTTTTATTTTGAGATAGGTCTCATATTGCTGTAGAACCTGCAAGCTTCCTGTGTCGGCCTCCCTCAGGGCTAGAATTACAGGTATGCACCAGCATGCCTGGCTGCATTTCAATTTTTTTAAAAAATGTATATGTGTACAAACAAGGGCATTTTGGTCTTCATCACGTATATCCTGACATACTGCTATTCTAATCTTTAAAATAATTTTATTTAGGCAAAAATGAGCAAAATCTAATGCAAACAAAATAATAATACACCAACATTTAATCAAAGTAGACAAGTATAGTGCTTTTTCAAAATTGAACTGCAGTCAGTCCAAGTATAGTTTCATTTCTTGAAACACAAATGCTGAAATACTTCAGACAGTTGCAAACTTTACACTTCAGACAGAGCAAATTTCAGACAGCAAAGTTTACACCTGAAACATGTTAAAATAATGCTTTGTCCACCTCCATGCAATCAGAAACTTCTAAAGGAAATGCCCTGAATAACTCAGAAAGGATAAGTAACATGATGAACACAAACTAAAATCTGAACTTTTCTTTTTTCCTGAGCCCATTTCAATTTATTGATTTTAACAATGATATTTAAGACACTGCACACCTTGATGCTCTGGTCACCACTGGACCTATATCATACCTGAGCACGTTTTTTGTTGTTCTCTCCTTTTTGTGGGAGCAGTACTGGGGGATCCAACCCAAGGACACAAGGCACTGTATCCCCAGCACTTTCTATTTTGAGACAATGTCTCGGTCAATTGTTCAGGCTGCCCTTCAATGTGAGAACTTCCTGACTCAGCCTCCAGAGCAGCTGGGCTCTCCTAACAGCCAAGTCACTCGTCAGTGACAGGATGTATCAAGGATCAGTGTACTTCTGCACCATTAATCGCTAGGACTTTGCAGAAAGCTTAATGCCAACCTTGTAAATGTCCAACCGTCGGTTATGAAATAATTTCAGCATGCACACACCAAGAAAAACAGCAAAGTTAGTTTCACTATATCAAAGTTTATCGGCATGTCTTATCACATTGACTAAAAAGCAGTATTTTCATTATCAACATTGTTGTTTTCAAATCTCAAGATAAAATGTTCACAAAATTATAGAAAACAATCTATACTGATTTAGGAGGACAACTAAGATATATTATGTAAGTATTCCAGAACATCATTTAAAAAAAAAAAAGAAAAAAGAAAAAGCACTTCGAATTTGGTGTCTGCCACTGAATCAAACAGTGAGGTCACCACAAAAACACCCTGTGGGCTGGCACACAGCTCAGTGAGGCACTGCTGGCCTGCCCGGTTCCAGGCAGAGGGGAAAACTGACTCCAACAATCCAGGCGCATGGTGAAAGAACCTAAAGCACCGTTAAACTTGATTAAAACCAAACAAGATTTTATAAGCAAAGAAAATGCATGCACCAATGAAGAGCAGAGCTTGAGCTCACTGGCAGCTACCATGAGGCTGGTGGCCACACGGCCCTCGGCCACCCTCCGGGACCAGCTGGCACAGAGCCGCATACATACCCTCAGGGAATAGTCACTCTCGGGGGCAATCTGGTCTATCCTCTCTTGCTTCTTGTACCCTTTCTTCCCTGTGGTCTCATCTAAATCCTCAGGAATCCTGATGTCATATTTATCCTTTTCAAAATCAAACTCTGTAGCATTTTTGTAGCTGTAAAAATAATTTTAAAAAGCAAAATTTAACTTCACAACAAGATAAGCAAGCAAGCAAACAGAAAAAACAAAAATAAACCTCTATGTGGTAAATTTCATGGAGAAGGCTTGATACAAAAGCAAGAAAAAAGAAAAGGAATCCAGGAAAACATATCATGTATGGACTGGCAGAGAGAACATAAAATAATAGGCTAGCTGGCAAAACCTTAGTAGTCTCTTAAACTACTGAAAATATAGCCTGGCATGAGGCCACATGCCTTGTAATACCAGTACTTTTGCAGGCTGAAGCAGAAGGATCACATATCAATCCCTGTCTTAACAACTCAGGAAGACTTTGTATCAGAGCAAAAGGTGGGATTTGGGGATGGAGCTCAGTATGAAAGCCCTGAGTTTAGCGGGGCTGGTGGCACATGCCTGTAATCCCAGCACTCAAGAGGCTGAGGAAGAGGATCACTGCGAGTTTGAGACCAGCCTGGGCTACAAAGTGAGCTTAAGGCCAGTCTGAACTGCATAGTGAGACCCTATCTCAAAAAGACAGGGGAAAAAAAAAAAAAAAGGCCCTGAATTTAATCTCCAGTACTGGCTCTCTCTCTCCCCTCTCACCATGACAGGCACCAATTACACTCCAGCACACTTATTTTTAAGAAACATCTATACATCAGTGTTTCCAGCATTTGTAACACCACCACATAAACAACCCAGATGTCCTTTACCAGGTGAGCAACAGTTAGACACCGTGGGCATCTGTCCACACAATACACTTTTAACAAGAAGCCAACTACTGACACACATGAGAACTTGGATGCACCTCTAGAGAACCATGTCCAAGTGAAAAATACCATCTCAAGATCTCACGGACCAGGGATACAGCTCTGTGGCACAGTGCCTGCATGGCAAGTGCAAGGTCCTGAGTTCAATTTTGAGTACAAAAAACAAGGGTCCCACACTGGATGGTTCCACTTATACAATGTTATTGGAAATGACAAAATGATAGCTAGAGGTTGTCAAGAATTAAGGGGTGGAGACAGAAGACAGTAAGTGGCTCTGAAACAGCAACAGGGATTCCTGGTGGGACAGAAGCGTCCTCTGCATCCTGTGTGGAGAACAGCATCCTGTCACTGTCAACAGCACTGCTGCCACCCGTGTTTCATAAGGGTGCTATTTGGGAAAACCGGGTGAAAGGTACAGGCAATCTCTGTATTATTTCCGAGAACCACACATGAATCTGAAGTTATTTTACAACAGAAAGCTGAATTGAGGGAGGAAAAAAAAACTACCATACAAGGGGCAAGGAGATAAAAAAGAAAAAGGAAATAAACAGAAAAGGGAACCAGGTCAGAAAAAGCACAAGTTTCCAAGTTAATTAGGGTTAAACTTAATTGTTCTTTAGTCTATGATTCAACATACCTTTGACCTCTCAATATTACATATTAATCCTAAATTCTAAAGTTTTATTTATGAAGGATTTTTTTCCTCCAAGGATTAAAAAAACTATAAATGTTAGCCAGGTGTCGTGTCACACGCCTGTAATCCCAGCACTAGGGGACTGAGGCAGGAAGATCACTGAGTTCCAGGCCAGTGTGAACTACAAAGTGACCTAACTGTGTGGACTACAGTGTGAACTACAACGTCAACCTATCTGCAGAGTGAGTCCCTCTGCCTTTTGTCTCAAAAGACAAAAGAAATAAAAATTTTAAAAATTCTCATCCAAGCTAAGTGTGGAGCTGCACATCTGTAATCCCAGCACTCAGAGGACCACTGCCGCCACAAGTCCGAGGCTAGGCTAGGCTATGCAACAAGCCAGTCTGAACTATGGAGCAAGAGCTTGTCTCAAAAAAGAAAAACCTCACTATACTACTTCTCTTATCAGATGCAAAGATCACGTGTAGCTCTAAGTAAAGAGCAAAGACTTCTCTCCATAACTTTGACAAACTGGCCTAGCCAGCTGGGCTTCCGTCTTCAGTTCCTTCTTCATGATTCTGAGGAGAGGGAGGTAGAACAGTTCGGAATAGTGCTACTGGAGACTGGATCACAGCAATATGACCATCTCACACTGACGCCAAAGCAGCCTCAATACACCACCTCTGGAGAAGCAAAGTCATTAATAATGTCAGCAGCGAGCACCTCTGCCTGTTTGTACTGTCATGATAGCTACAGGCGAGAAAACCAATCCTACACGTGTGCTTTGTTTCCCCAATGATCAACAACTACCTGAGGTCTACACTTACCTCCTAAGATTCCAAATGATGATGCGTGTCCCCTTCTTACCCATAATTGCGTCAAGTTCTGCCAGCAGCTTCTGTTCCGTAGGAAACAGAGAATGTTCTAGAATTGCAGCAAGGCTCGCTGTTGATTCTGCTAAATTAATCATCTGCCGTACAACCTGAGTTAAAGACTAATATCAACAACACGTTTTCAAAAACCCAACTCTAAACTTACATAACAGAAAAACTATTTCTTGAATTATGTACTAAGTTTTAAAGTGGTAGTTTGAGCCAAGGACGATGGCACACACCTATAATCCCAGAGGCTGTGGCAGAAAGATGCCAAATTGAAAACCAGCCTGGGCAACTTAGTAAGGTCCTGCCTCAATTTTTTAAAAAAGTAGGAGTGAGGGGGCCTGGACCTGAGGATATAGCTCAGTGGTAGAGTACTTTGACTAGCATGCACGAGACCCTGAGTTTGACCCCGAGTTCTGCAAGATGAATCAATGAAGGTAGCAATGAATAAAACGAAATGGCCACTCAATTTCAAGTGAATGTAAGAAGCATTAAAAAAACAAGCAATTTTTCTCTTATTGCTAACTAATTCCATGCTATGCAAAATCTTTTAGTGTGTTTACAAAGAAGGCATTTCTCTGAAGCTACCTTGCTTTTCATGGTCATTAGCAAAACTTTCAAGCCAGCCCACAAAATCCTATTAGGCCACAGTTTCTATTTCACAGGCAAAAGGATATGGTGCTTGTTGAACGCAACGATCGGGACAACCACATGTTCTGCTTTGATGACTTCCAAGTAGGTCTGTGATAGGAAGCCCACACTCATGCTTTCTCCATTTTTGGTAAAAACCATTGCATCCTTACCCAAGCGCATAGAACCTGACTTGAAGCCATTCCCATACAATCCAACTGGGACATGACCATTCATGGTAACTTTGTCACTGAAGCCAAAGCTAGAAAGAGAATGAAAAATTTCAATGACAAACACCTACATCTTCACTTTTTAAAAAAAATCCATGCCAATACAATTCCAAGTGAAAAGCCTGGCTCTCGCATGCTGGCCTGTCTTCCTGGCTATATTAATGTCAAGCAAAATACTCCTACTCTCTGTCTCTCTTTTTATGCACCCGAAATCAAACTCACGACCTCACATTTGCCAGGCAGGCACTGTGCCACTAAGCTGGACCTCTCTCAGTGTCTCCTCCTGTTTCCCTGTCTCCGCAATGAAGACACCCAGCTACATCACAGACAAAGGGTGACAGCAGTTACAGGCATGTGCAACCATGCCCTCCTGGCTAAATGGCTGCTTAGGGTCTGGGCAGGCAGGACCTTGAGATCTCAACCCAGGAACCTCCTCCACTGACATGAACAATTCTCTTCCCTTAAGCAGCCCTAAATGGTATGATCAGTCATGGGAGCACCTCCACTTTCTGGAACCACAAGAAATATTTAAGGGACCATAAAAGATCTCTGCTTCTACTTTTTCTGTCCTTGTGCTGTATCTCTGTTTCCATTTCAGGCACATTTAATTCATACTGACAACCTACAGTCCAAGGCCTTCTAACTACTTGGTGCTGTTTTCCCAACCTCTCAAGCTCTTTTAAAGTTACCCCCCTCCAAGACTAAGTTTTATTAGAAATATTGGGTAAAACTAATTTACCCTAAAGTGTAAAGAGCAGATACAGTCTCACTACTCTATAATTCTAAAGGAATGCTGGAACTATAGGTCCGTCAGACATGGAAAGGAGGAAATGACAAAGATGGGGACCACCTGACAATCTACCATGTATAAAACAAAGGGAAGACTGTTAAAAGAGACTTAACCACACTGTGGGGATTGCAACTCAAAAAACAAAAATTAAGGATATGACATGAAACCCTTCCACTAAGAGCCCTGGTTTCCCCCAGACAGGCTCACTTGTACATACCTGAGCATTTTGTGTAACTTATCTGATGTCATGCCATTCCCATTATCAGTAAATGTCAAGCAGATCTTGTCATTTATCACTGTTTTGTCGATCCATATCTGTTTAGCATTCACATCAGGATCATAAGCGTTATCTGGAAAGCAGAAGGTTTTGAGAAATTTTGAGCTTGCATTTTAAAGAGTAGTTAGTTCAGAACAAACCTGTAGCAAGCAAAGAGTATCATATTCTAAGACTACTCTAAAAGCAAGTTTTAGGAGCTTGCTCCTGGAGTCTGACTAGAGCAAAATCAACCATATTCCCAAGCACTTAGTGTTGGCAATGAGCAGACTGGCACCTATCACACTGAACCCGCCACTAAGTCACTGCCCGCGGGGATGCTAAGACTGGCCGACAATCCTGACGGCAACTGAGAGCCCAGTGTCTGCGGCACCACGCAGTGCTATGGGAGGCACACAGCACTTAATACATCCACGAGAAGCAGCACCGCCTGCCACACTACCTATTCGGACGGAAGACTCACCTTCTACAAAGTTCTCCAACTGTGGCCCTTGTCAGTTTAACCCAAGCTGCTTCTGGCTTTCACATTTCTCTCTCTGCATGCCCCCAATTAATATCCTTGTTGAACATATTCATTTCTCCCAGAGTAAGTATAAAGAAATACACTGCGAGTTGGAAAAGAGCTGACTAATGGCAGGAATAAAATGAATTCAAGAATTACCCAGGACCTACCCACATATTCAAATATATACACATGCACTTTATTTATTTATTTATTTATTTATTTATTTATTTATTTATTTAGCGTGTGCGTACACACCCCCCTCAATTTTTTCCCCCAGTACTGGGAAGTGAACCCCATTAACTCCACACTGACCTATCTACAGTTGTTTTTGTTTGAGAGAAGGTCCTGCTAAGTTGCCCAAATTGGCCTGAAACTTGGATTCATCCTGCCTCAGCCTCCCAAGGTACTAGAAATTAAGACCTGCACCACCATACCTAGCTTTATTGAAATATATTATGACCAGGCATGGTGGTGCACACATCTAAGGCTGAGAAGGCTGAGCCAAGAGGATCACTGGGAGATTAAGGCAGGCCTGGGTTAGAGTTCTAGCCAGGAAAAATTGCACAGCAAAGGGGCTGGGAATTTAGCTCAGCGGCATAAGCACCTGCCTTGCAAGCAGGTGGTCGTGAGTTCGATCCCTGGTACTGATAAAAAGTTTAAAAAAAAAAAATTTTGCATAGCAAGACCCTGTCTCAAAGATAATAATAATAAATATAAAGAAATGAAATAATAAATATAAAGAAATGAAATATAACCTAGTCTGTATTATAATATAAATAATAGCTTTCAAACTCTCCTTTTACAACACAGCCTACAATTAAGTAGTCTTTTTTTCAATCACTTCGGAAGGACCGTATTTCACTAAAAACTTAAAACTTTACCACACCACAAAGAGGACCATTAAAGCCACAGATTGCTTCTTTAGGTTGCCATAAAAAAAAGAACTGGACTGTCAGGCAGGTGTGGCAGCATGCCTACAATCCCAGCACTCAGGGAGGCCAAGGCAGGAGAAGCCCAATTCAGTGAGAAAAATTAGAAATTCATTAAGAGCCTTTCCCAAAATAAAAAATAAAAGGGGAGGGGAATGTAACTCAGTGCAAGGTCCTTGGTTCAACCTCAAGTACTGAGGGGACAGATAAGACAAATAGATACAATTGTAATGCACAGTAGACTCACTCTGAATTATGAAAAATATCACCTGAACCCTATTTGTCAGGGGAAGCAAGAATTTGCTATTATAAATTGAATATAATGACTCTAATACCAGAAAAATGAATCCACCAGCACTACTGAGAAGCATATTCATTTTTCACATTTATAGTCAAAATAAAAACTTTTTTTTTAAAGCCAGTCAAATTTAGCAGTGGGGGGGGGTGGTATACCAACTTTAGTGACACTGATGTAATAAGTTCTGATAACCCACTGCCATCGGACCAGCCAAAGCATTTTCAATATAAATGCTTTATGAACTTAGCAAGTTAAATCTTTTTTTATTTTATTTTTTTATTTTTTTTAAGACGAGTCAAGTGCAGTAGTGAGAAGGCGGAAAAGAGTAGAACAAGGAGTTCAATCTGCACTGACTGTGAACAATCAATTGAAATAACTCACTACCTTCGGACCAGCCAGCAAGTTAAATCTTTTTTTTTTTTTTTTTTTTAATACCCCCCCCCCCTGCTGCCCTCTGCCACAAGTTAAATCTTAAGAGCTAGGACATAGCTGGAAAATGGAACTCTGGGGGCTGGGGATTTAGCTCAGCGGCGTAAGTGCCTGCCTTGTAAGCAGGTAGTCATGAGTTCAATCCCCGGTACTGATAAAAAGGAAAAAGACAAAAAAAATTGAAAAATTTAAAAAATAAAAAAAAATAAAAAGAAAATGGAACTCTGGGAGGGGATTACTCTGAGATTCACTGGACAGTTGTCATGCTAGGTAGGTAAGCATTACCATTCATGTACTCACTCAAGATATATCTTCCCCTACAGTACAAATCTGTAACTGTTCAGTAAAAACTTTAATGCTATAATTGCAAGCAATGTATATATGAAATGCCAATTTACGTACCTATTAATTCAGCAACTGCACTGAACGGCCAGGTATGACTAGTAGAATTTGTGTGTAAAAACTTCGGGCAAAGCTGAAACAAACCAACCAATGATTCACATAAATTAATTCAGATCTTACTTCAGAGAACAAAAACCAATTAATATAATTTATTTGTCCCTACTAAACAACACTGAAACTAAACAATGGTAACTCAAGAGCTCACTGCAGGGAGACATGCCCTAAAAGACTCCTGGGAAATGCTGCTGGGCACGGGGCAGCTCACACACCAGGACGGGTTGGCGTCAGCAACTGCTCAAGATCTGAAAAGGACCAGTGAAACCCCTTCGATCTATGGAGCATCCGCTCTGAATTTCCCTTCTGAGACACTACTTTACAGAGAGGGTCTTCTCTCTTTAGGGTATTAGCTTTGCATTAGTATTTCACACTTTTGACTTGGTTGTATTGCATACTCCAATCTCACTGTAGTCTAACTTCCAGCAGTGGCGTGGTATGCATCTGTACACTCTTCAAATGTTAATTGTAGTTCTAGTGCAGTAAGCCATCCTGATTTCCCTTAGTAATACAGCAAGGCAGAAAATACCAATCAATGTCATTTGGTAGGGAACTGTGTAATTTTCCAAATGTTGTAGATATCAAATGCAGAGAATTTCCATGCATTTGTTATACTCGTTTTTAGCAGAGTCCCACACATGAAATGAAAGAGAAAAGAAGTATGTCAAGTGTGTGTTAAGTGTGAAGAGCTCTAGAAACAAGGTCAGAATATGAGACAGGCCAAGGATATTCACAGTGCTCAGCTGCTGTCAGCAGGTATCAGAAAGAGGCCTACCTGGCCTCCTGCTGCACTTGCTTCCAGACAACCCCCTATGCCACTATTCAACACGCATTAGGCTCAAGTAATACCTGTGACAAACGGCACCCTGCAGAAGACTGATCGTCAACAGGAGTACATGCAATTGGGGCTTCCTACCGCGTACATCTGCAAGGTCCTATGTTCTTTGCTTAATGCCCTATCTAGTTAATGACTGTCAGACTTGAAACCACCTCTCAGTTTTACAACTCATCTCTCTTGTTGGACAGTTCTGTATTTTGTTTATAAAGCCTGGAAGTCCTTTTTTGTCAGTGTATGTAATTTATGTGGTACTGTAATTTTGGCTGATTATACTGTACTATACTATGGTTTCTGTACATTCTGTGTACAACTCACTTAGCAATCAACTCATTTAAATGGCCTAGATACAAGCACTGAACTTGGCAGTTGCAGGAGGAGCATCTGTGTGGGACTCTGAAATTCAGAGTGCATGTCAATTTCTGAAGCACACTCCACAAGTTTCTAGAGGGAGTTTCAACCTCCAGATTTTCAATTGCACAAGAAGTTTTTTTCCTAGTTAATACATCTGAGAACACACCCGCCTGCCAGCAATCAAGAAAATCTTCCTGTCCCAATTTCTACTCCTCCACACTCCCTATCATTTGTCAGGGAATGGCATGACCCTCGTGCATCGAAATGGGTGACCCTCTGGCCAGCAAACAAGTGACTGATGAACCACATTTCTATTAAGGGTGAAATCTGAAATCAGAAATGGGGTATCCCAGGTTCACATGATATTCTAAATATAGATGTAAGGCAGAGTGTGGTGGTAGGAATGTCAGCTTTCATTTAATTCCTTCATTCTTCATACTGACTCTAATCTGAAAAGGTCACATCGTTTCTGAGTGAGAGTTCCATAACAGCAAAGAGGATGGCAAGAAGAAATAAGAAAATGCTACAGTGGCTTTTTGGGGGAGAGGATTAAAAGTAGGTGAAAATTTTTAGGAATTCTTAATGCTACATGTCTTTAGATAGAAAGAAAATTATCCCCGAGCAGCCGAGGCCATGTGGCATGCACACACTTTCACACACACAGAAACAGACTGACTCCAGATGGACTGTATTCGCTAGTGTTACCTTGAGCAAGAAGCTTCACTTCTTTTTTTTTTTGTACCGGGGATTGAACTCACAACCTTGCGCTTGTCAGGCAGGCTCTTGTGCCACTGAGCTAAACCTCTGGCAAAAGCTTCACTTCTGTGATTCATGTTTTATCACCTGTCAAAGTGTGATGACAATGGTACCAGTTCACTAGTGTACAACTTACCTTTTTTGTGTGTGTGTGTGTGTGTGTGTGTGTGTGTGTTTCGCTTTTATCCAGTACCAGGAATCGAACTCACGACTGCCTGCTTGCAAGGCAGGTGCTTACGCCGCTGAACTAAACCCCTGTACAGCCCCTGTACAACCTATCTTTAGAAGAATTCCTGAATGTAGATTACAAGCATTTAAAAAAGTATATATTCCTTTATTTTTCTCAGTTATAGTAACCTTATCTTGTGTTTTACAGAAGTCTATGAATGATTTTTAAAAAGCAGCTTCTAATCCTATCATGTTTCTCTAAGAGTTGTTTAAGTAAGCAGTTAAGTATGTCAACAGTTGGAACATCAGCAAGATTCTAGATCAACCACTCGCCAAAGAACCTGGCAGCTTTTCTATCTTGCTTTTGATAGAGTGGTATATCCACTCCGAGGGTAAACATGTCCGGCCAATTCCTCAGAACACGCTTTGTGAAATCAGTGGGGATTAACAAATTAGTGAACTCTGGCACGGAGCTGTGCTTGCTTGCCTGTAACAGCCTGGAAGCCAGTTTTGATCCTGGCAACACGGCATCAAGAATGACAAGTTTGGGCTGGGGATTTAGTTCAGTGGCATAAGTGCCTGCCTGCCAAATGTGAGGTCGTGAGTTCGATCCCCAGTACCAAAAAAAAAAAAAAAAGAATGACAAGTTTCACACTGTAAGAAATATCGCTGATGTCCTTCTGCAGAATTGTGCCTGATGATCAGCATGTATGACAAGCGACATATTATCTTAAGACACTTTCTGTTTCCGTTGCAATCTGCCTTTGGTTACAAGTTGGTTATTACTGCTTGTAGAATCTACAGAACCACTTGTACTCAACTCTGCCAAAAAAAAACGTAAAAAGGCAAGATGCTTGGGCTGACGATGTAACAGTTTACAGGTATCTGTAGAGTTAACAATTTATAGGTATCTGTAGAGTTAACAAAAGAAGCATCCTTGATTTCTACTTGGACAACTTATGGAGGTTTCATGACAACTTCTGTTTTCTCTCCTGCAACCATATCTGGATTCTTTTCCCTCATGATGTTGAACACTTGATTCAGTAGCTCTTAACATACATAGTACTGAATGAAATACTATCACCTTTTTTGCTGTCTTCATCTTCTAAAGCTGCACCTTTTTCTAGTATATCATCCTCATGTACGAACTTGACATTCTTTTTCTTTTCATTGCCAAGTACACTATCTGCTTCAGTTGGCTTGTGGATATCACTAGCAATCTTAAGATCCTTTATACCCTCTTCTGCTTCACCAATATCAAATGTCTTTTTCATGTTTTCCTCTTTTGATTAAAGAAATTCCAGTCATCTAGATCATGGAAGCATCTTTCTTCCTACTGTCCTCTTCATCAGCTCCCACATCTCTGTCCTCAGCTGGTCCTGGCTCCACTTCTTTTGCTTCTGAGGGCTGGGTTACTTCTGTTGGGGCATCCCTTTTCTCATCTAACATAAAGGGTGGTGGGTGCTGCTGCTGTTGCTGCTTCTTCCTCAAAATTGGATCAAAAACCATCTTGTTCCTGGACATGGCTGCAGCTCAAGTGGGCTCAGCACAGATGGGAAGTGAGATGGGTCAGCGCCAGGCTCCGGTGCCAGCAGGGCTCCTCCTGATACCCCTCCAAGCACCCCCACTAGCTCTTATATCAGCAGAAGGGACGACACCCTGCCCTCCTGGCAAACTTGGAAGTGTGCCTGCACAGAATTCTATAAATATCCCTTTAAAAGAAGAACTGAGCTCATACAAAAATAAGCAAAATCTTCAAGGATCTGAGATAAGGAAGGAACTAAAAAAAAGGAGGCACGCTGGGTGATGAAAATTTAAATGATCAGAGAAAGGTTTAGGTTTTCATGGTGACTCAAGGAGAGTTGACCGGCAGAAGACAATCACACCGTTACCATGAAGCAACCATTTCCCCTAGCATACCGAATGGTAAGTTCATCTGCTTTGGTCTCCAGGCCTAAAAGTGGGGAAACATGCACCAATGTGTACAGAAAGCAGCACGTCCACCTCCACCTGGGCTAAGGGTCTTAACCATTCCCCATGCAGACCCACTGTAGTTCAATCAGACAGCACACAATTCCCTGGGGTAATTATTTCTGAGACACAATCCAAAACCCAAACTTTTAAGGGAAACAATCCACAAGGAGAAAATGTTAGCAAACAACATATTAGAGACCACAGGCCCCACTGGGATACTCAGTAAAAGAACACACACATGTATACACACACACACACACACACACACACACACACACACAAATCAGATGCTCTGAAGTAAACAAAGACCTTTAAAGAATCAACAGAACTTTTAAAGTCAGCAAAAACAGTCACAAAATTTTCAAAGTTACTCAAATATAAAATCCTTAAAACTTGAAAGCCGAAATACATGAAATATTTACCTCTGTCTCCTCCTGAAACTACTCCAAAAAAAAGAAAGAAAGAAAAAGCATAAACAGAAGAAAAGAAAGAGTGAAGTGATGGGCAACTACAGCCAAAGCAGGAGGATGGGGCTGGGAAGGCAGACTGTGAGGACCGAGTTAACAGCCTGGAAAGAGTTAGATTAGAAGCCTGCAGGAGACACAAGTCCAACAGCACCAGTCAGGAACCTGCAGAGACACACGAAAGCTTAGGACTCAGACTTCTGTGTCTTTAAATCATATGTGCCAGGGTGTATGGAAACAAGATAGACTGAAACTTAAAAAAAAGGCAATTAAAATCCCCAGAACCTTTGTTCCCGAACTGTGTCCAGTAATCACACTGCCATGGTTTACATCGAAAATGGTCCTTAAAAACCTCCTGTGTTCAGAGGTAGGGTTGGGAAGGGATGGACCCTGGGATTACTCCACAGATTTTGCTCATGGCTGACCAGAACCGATGCACTGCTGGGGTGGGGGCCTGGTCTGAAGAGT